TCTTTCCGGAGATTGGGATTTCTTCACCGTCTTACCATCTTTTCTGGTACTCTGTTTGATTGGCAATGGTTCCGGTTGAGGTTCGTGACGCACTCTCTTCGATCTCGACGAGCGTGAGTCCGCACTGTCGACTTTGCGTTCCCATGTTGGCGATTTCTCGACATGTCTGGCTTGCTGAATGGTTTTATTCGTAAAGGTTGCAGTACTGATAGTTGCCTGTTCTGGCTTGCGTTGCAAGGGCGGCGAGGACGTGAGGCGCACTGGGGTCGGTTGCTGACTGGATGGCTGGAAAACTGGATGCTCTTTATGCTGGAGACCGAAGAGGACTTCGGCGTAAGTACTGCCTGTACTGATGTCCTGGGGCCGGACTTGCTTGTTGCTTCGCCTCTGAGGCTGGGGATGCACCGTGACAGTGGTTGTTGCTTCGGTTTGCCGTTGGACAGTTGGGACCGCGACGACTTCCCGAGTCTGCTGCGTTATCACAGTTGGCTGTGTCTGTTCGGTGACAATTGTGGTCTCCACAATGGTTGTCGTAATGGCTGGTTGAGATTGGACTTGGGGCTGGGCTTCGACTTGTGGCTGAGTTAGGACTTGGTTCTGAGGAACTTGAGGCTCATCCAACGGTATGGTTTCGATGGCATCAATATCAAATTGACCAAAGGTAATATCGGGCCGTGGCTCGTCTAGTTCGAGTTCCTGTGGCTCCACAGGTCGGATTGTGTGAACGTGCTCTTCAACATAGTAGGGTTCGCTCTGCACAACCGCCGGCTGGATTTGCTGGGTGCTGGTAGTCAGGGGCTCCGTGCTCTGTTGAACGATCGACGCCAACGTGGTAACAACGCGATCCAGCACGCTGTTGCCCGTGGTCGAGGTGACGGTGTTCTCCACACGGTACGGGTCAAGCAGATAGGTCTGCTCCACCGTCTGCTGCTGGTAGTCCGGCAAGGGTTCGGCTGGCTGCTGCTGCGGGTACTCCTGCACATACTCCGCCGGCTGTTGGGCGTAGTAGATTTGATTGGGTTCCGCTGGATAAACCGTGGAGTAGGTCTCCGTCTGAGCCACTGGCTGGTAGTAACCGGTCAAGAGCTGATATTGCGTGGTCGCCGCCGGTGGCACAGCCACCTGCTGATACTGTATGGGATACTGCATCTGCATGATCTGCTCGTAGTAGTTCTGTTGCGTCTGCTGCTGCTGCGGTTCTGCTGCAGATCCAGTCACATAACCCCACTGACCACTATCGGCCACGTTCTCGTACATTGTCTGATACAACTGCGGATCGGGTTGCAAGTAGGTTGCTGCAATCTCTTCGGCTGTCATGGGTCTTTCGTAACTGCTGATGGGTTTCGGTTCGGGTTGTTGTTGCTGAGTTTGCTGCAGTTGTGGCTGCTGCTGTTGTTGTTGTTGTTGCTGCGGGGGAGAATAGCTAAGTTCGGTGCTGGTTTCAGTAATGTACTGCTCCAGTTGGGGTTGTTGTTGCTGGTGTCTTTCCTTGATGGGTTCTGGTTGGGGTTCGGGTACGTAAATATTGCCTGAAACTGCCGCGCTGGCATCGACCACATCCTGAATGGTTATCTCCGTGCGACCTTGGACCGCCTGGGCGGCCAGTTGCTCGGCCTTGAGGCGCTCCAATTCCAATCCGCGCAGAACCTCAGCGTAGGAGGTGGAACCTGGCACCCACATGGGGCTGCGGGATCTAGTGCGGTCGTCGATGGGCAAGAAGAGTTGTTCCTGTTGTGGCTGCTGTTGCTGCTGTTCGAATTGAATCTCGATTTGGGGTTGTTGGGTTGGGGCATGAGGTTGATGTTGCTGGTGGTGTTGCTGTTGGGGTCGACGTCTGGGCGAGCGAGCTCGGCGTTCTGGCCGCGGTGGCTGGAGTTTCTTACCGGGTTTCGCGTGGTGGTGGTGGTGCTTCTGCTCGCTTTCGATGAACTGAGTACTGGGGTTGGCTGTCGTTGTGCTAGGAACTGATTGGGTCGGGACATATTCGCTGGGTGGTGTAACCTGCTGTTGGCGGTCATAGATCGCTGAGGAAATAGTATTGCTGCCGCCATTGAACTCGATTTGCTCGGGGTTCTCGTGAACCTCCTCACCGTGCGTACGTCTCGAAGTCGTTGTGGTTGTCGTTACGGTTGTGATGGTTGTCTGTTGTTGGTTCTGAGTATCGTTCGTTTGTTGTTGCCGGGTTGTCGTTGTTGTTGTGGTCGTTGAGTTGTCGCGTTCTGGTCGGGGGTTTGTTGTTGTTGTTGTTGTTACCGGCTCATTACCGCTGCTTACCGGACTCGCATGTCCCGACAACACTTCAGCATAGGTCAGACCCGCTGCCGCCGCCGTTGGCTTCATAAGCAACGAGACAGTCGAGGAAGTGGTCACCACTGAATGGGGATCCAGCGCATAGGACTTTCGAGCGGTCGCATCGTAGACTTGCTGCATGCCATCGATTGATTCCCGCATTGCCTAATTGTTCATCACGGCTCGTGGTTCATGGTTCACGTTTCAGATTTGCGTTTCAGAGAGAGAGAGAGTGGGAGAGATAGGGGGAAGATTTGCCAAAAACGTTAGCTTTGATATGATTGCAGGGGTTTCAAGAGGGGGGACACAAGGCTGAGCTACCTAACAATGGACACAAGACCTCAACTCCCTAGAAAATATCACTCCAAAAAGGGCTTGCGTTTTAAAAATATAATTTGATAATTTAATTTATTCTTTAAAATAGTATATATAATTTTGTGTATTCTTAAACATGGGTCATGTTTGTATTTGTTTTTTTTTTTTTTTGGTTAGAGTAGTGACGGCAGTTGACAGTTTGGCCAGGGCCACCGTTCCTGGGAGAAGGAAAGCGGTGGCAAAGGTAAACGGCTGCAATGGCTTTGGTCTAGTCCTAGATTTGGCTTTAACTTATGGTTAGGGGTGGTACGGCATCCTAAATCTCTAGCTTGGCATCGTCCGGCGTGCCGCGATGTATTAACAACTTGATGCGCTCATTACGTGCAGTTATTTTCGAATGCAGATTTTTGACACGTTCCCGGCATGCCTATTGTTCATATTCAGGGTATATATGGTGCATGTTTTTATATTGAAAGAGTTCGAATGGTTGGCGTGAGAGCAGATATATATATATAGAGAAGAAATTCAAGAAATGTCAGCATATATATTGAGATTCGTTTATGGTAATTCAAAGACAGCGAGCACATTATACGCCATGGGATAGATACAGGAAAAGCGACCATTACCATGTTCGATATTTCGTTTTTACAGAAGAAGTAAGCAGTACCCATGTGTGTGTGTTTGTTTATGTGTGAGTGTGATCAGGGGTTTTATTCGATGGGTTTAAAGGTTAAAGGGGTTACATCGGATATGTAGCAATTTCGGATTAGTCACAGATTTGTAAGTAGCGCAAGAGGCAAGCGAGCAAAGCCCAAAGATTAGTTTCAATTGGTTTAAATACGATTAGTAAAGAACAATGTTTATGGAGTGTGTTTAATAATTTGCATGTTTGTTTTTCGATTTTTTTTCAGCGCAACGACACCAGGATTTTTGTTTATATTCAACCAAATTTACGTAGAGAAAAGATAAAAAGAAATACAATTGTCAAAAATAAAATACCAAAACAAATTATAAACCGTAACCATAATTAAAGAAAACCCGAATTACGCTATTACAATACCAGAAAGATATAGAAGAGGTATATAAGAAAGAGAGAGAGCTGCGTGGTGAAGAAAATGATTGCTTGGCTAAGCTGACTAAATAATTAAATCAAATAAATAGTAAATCAAATAAAAATGTCTAAGCCAAAGCTTAATGTGTAATTGTGCCAAGAAATGTGACGATTTAAATGCGATGTGATGACTGTACTTTTTCATTGGTGTATGTGTGTGTGTGGTGGGGTGAAAGGATATCCAAAATAAGTTCTCATAGCAAGAGCTGCCCCCAATCATTATCAAATTTAACTACTGTCCCAAATTGAATCGAATTCTATGATTGCCACTTACCGCCGACATTGCAGTTCGCAATGTAAAGTTAAATTTTAGTAATAAAGTTACAAACTATTTGGAAAACAAGGGAGAACTTGATTTTAATCTATCGCTAGGCCACCTGCCTGTAAACATCATCATTTTGTTTATAAGCAGCAAAACAATGGAAAACGCTTTCGGTCTAAAAATAGTCTGCGTGATTATCTGGAGGCGGAATTCGCTTTTCGCTCTTCTATTCTGGGTGGCCTAACCCTGACAACAATAACTTATTCGTTTCTGGGTATTAAAAATACTTTCGGGCCGCAGCACGTGACAAATGGTAATGATGAGGTCCGCAAGCGCCAATATTGATGAGGTATAATTTTCGTAGACATTTTCAAATGAGAATGATATGGTAACAATGGGAAGTGAGATTCGAAAATGAAAGAGCTGCACGGTCGGCAGATGAGAGATGAAAAATGTTTCAACATAAGGAAACACAAAGATGAAAGATGAATGATAAATGTTGACTTGTGTGAGCAGTTGTGTGCGAAATAATGACATAAATCGAATTCGAAAATAAAAACGTAATAGAATTTTGCCGAACGAAAAAAGAATAAAATGAAAATAAAGAAATAAAATAAAATGCGCGTTGTTCTATCTGTTTTTTTTTTGGTAAAAATAAAAAATAAATAAATTAAATACGCAGCCACCGTGCAACTGTTTTTCTTCAGACCTACCCGCACACATTTAAGCGTTGGGGACAAAACGGTTTCAAAGATTAATCAAATATTATATATTATATATTCGGGTAAGGGTTAATAACTTTCTTTGGTTGTTCTGTCAACTGTTCTTTTATTTTTCATAGCGATGAAGGATCGTTCACAGCAATGATTTTATGAGATATATTCGTAATAAGGGGGATTTATCTTTACTAAATAGAGAGAGAGATCTCCTGGCAATAACTGCTATATCTGAACTGAACTGCTAGCTGGTTGGCTAAACGGGTCTACTAGAAAATCTATCAAAAGACTGGTGGAAGGTACGTACCTGTTGCTCGGCTAATGCGCGCTCGCGATCGTGCGGCAAGTACGTGGGCGCCATCACCAGGCGGAGCTGCTGCTCCTCCTGGATGATGCGCTGGCGCAGGGTCTGCATCTGCTGCTGGTACACGTCGATCTGGGCCAGCGTCTGCTCGAGGCTCTGCGACTTGGCCTTGACCAACTCGCCCAAACCATCGAGCACGCGCACCAGTTCATCGACATTCTCGCTCAGGCGCGGATCACCGCCCATGCCGTTGCGGAAATGAACCTGCGGATGAGTTGTTAGGCTGGGGATTAGAATTGCCACCGCCGCGGCGGTACTCACCTCCAGTTTCTCGATGGACAGACGCAGCTTCGTCTTCTGCACATTGATATCGGCCAGGGTCTTCTCGCAGAAGCCCAGCTGATCGCGCAGCGGCTTCTTCTGCTGCTGCGCGGAGTCCAAACTCTGCTTCGTCTTCTCGTGCCAGGAGCGTATATCCTTGATCTTGCGTTCACATTGGTCCCATTCCTCGCAGGCCTCTTGCAGCAGGGAGTTCTGTGGGATAAAAAATAAAAGAAATACAAGGGGAAAGGTTATTTACTTGCATAAAATTTATTAGAGGGTTTCTACCATAAACCCCTGGAATACTTTACCCTCTCTAGCAGCACCGCTTCCACGGATATCTTCGCATCCTCGGCCTCCTGCAGTTTGTCCTTGAGATCGCCCACAGTCGTCACCTGGCCGATGTGCTCCAGTTCCTTGTCCATTTCGCTCAGATGCTTAACAATCGGTTTAATACTCTTCACAGCCGTCACATAGTCGTTCAGTTTGTTGCGTGCCTCGGGCAGAGTGCGCAGCTCGATCGTCTGGTCGATGAAGGTGCGCTTCTCGGCGGCCCACGACATCACGATCTGGTAGAGGTTCATGAACCTCGTCCACGCGTCCAGACTATCCCCGACCGCCTGCTTCTTCTCGTCCAGCCAGCCGCGGACTTGGGCCAGCGAGGCGGCTAACTGATCGATGGTGGTCTGCACCAGCGTCTTCTCCTCGCTGTTGCGACAGTTCTCGATGATCAGCTGGCCGTTAGTCTTGACCAGGGTGAAGCGTTCGTAGATGGCGGTGATCTCGTGGTTGATGCGCTGCAGCAGCTCCTTCATCTGCGTGGGCGTCAGGCTGCGCTCCTGCACTTGCACCTCGGCCTGGAGCAGCCAGCGCTGGATCTCATCCACACCGGCCACATACTCGGTGCGCACGGTCTTGGCCCGCTTGAAATCCTTCTCTTTGGTCTCCATCGTCACCTGTACACGTTCGGCCAGTAGCTCGAGAGCGGTGAACTCCTGGGCAATGTCGCTGGGCAGCTGATTCTGTTTGGCCTGGTAGTGGGCCGTCGTCTGGGCCACCAGCGATTTGCTCTCCTCGGCCGCCTGTTGCACTTGGCTGTTTAAGGTGATCAGGAGCTGTTCCGTTTGGGAGATGTGCTCGTCGTAGACGTGAACCGATTGCAGTTGATCGTGGAGCGCGTTTAGCTTGTCCTGCAGCTGCGAGATGCGACGGAAGACTTGCTCGATCTCCTCGAGATCCTTGCTAACCTGTTGCTCCTTATCGCGCAGCGTGTCGTTCAATCTGAAATTAGAGAGCGGAGCGTTTGAGTTTTCAGTTTTCAGGGGCACGTTATTCAATGTTTGTGAAGACAGTGTGGTGTGAAAACCACGCGGTTCCTGCTGGTATAGATAGACTGTAGATTCCGTTCGCACAGAGATCTTAAAAGATCTCTATATGTGTAGATACAAGGAGGGGCGAAAAGTTATTCTTCTGGCACAAAGGCTGAAAAATTCTGAAGTTTTCAATGTTCTTTTGCTGCTGGTATATATATATATCGCTATATATATATAAGTGTAAGATCCACTGGGCTTTGGCCTCGAGGCTGCGAAGATTTCCGTGAAAAATTAATGCTGCCGTTTGGCTACAAGAGAGTTTTCTAAATGAAACGGCTCGAGCACATTTGGACGGGTCTGAACGGTTTTCGTTTTCGAAATTCGAAACAGATTTTCGTAAATTGCTCATAATTCGAAATTGCCTTGATCCCAATGAGAGGCAAATGAGAGCGAACTTTTCATTTAAAAGCCGCCGAAAGAAACATAAAACAAAAATATTCCCTTCTGCTGCTTGGACACGCACAACTTTTAAAATTTTCTCGTTGTTGTTATAGTTTTAGCTTGTGGGTATTTTTAACAGCGGCGCATGTTTAAATTTATATTCCACCCATTTATTTATGTTTTATTCTTCGTCCGATTTGCATTTTGGCCGTAGACAAGGTGACGTCATTGGGGCGTTGCAGTGAGCGGAATGAATCAATGAGTAACTTCGATCTTGTTTGAATATTTCGCATTGATTTCCGTTCCGTATTTCCAGAAAATGACGCATATTGCTCATACGCCCGGTTGGCCAAAAGCAAAAGCGTTTGAAATAGATTCGAACAAGTGTTCGTGTTCGTGATCAACGGTTGCACTTGGCATGGAATGACGGACTCGTTAATGGAACGTTTATTGCCCTTTACAGCCGCCGAGGGCCGAGGCAAAATGCGGCCCAAGATGAGGCCAAGTCAACACACATTTGGCTCTCGGCCAATTGGCCGCAAAGTCGGCTGAAAACATTTTGAAATTTAATTGTTAAATGTGCGCCGGCGAAGAGCGAAATCGGGACGGCGGAAATACGCGATACCCTATAAACTAGCCAGAATTATTTCGGCGTCATTTTTCGCAGCAGCAACAAATGTATCGAACTAGTGAATTCTCAATTTTGTTTGGGTTGCCGCCGCAGTCGACAAGCGAACAAAATAAATAAAAGGAAAATTATTTTTCCTCTACGCTATTTTCAGCCGTCTGCCATTTTGTACAAATTACGGATTTAAATTTAGTGCATGGCTCTAATTTAAATGGCAAAATATGCTAGAAATGCCGTGGCGAACGCGAGTGAAAGTGAAAGGCAACGAGCGGCGCGTGTTGCTCCAAGTGGAAACAAATATATGAAAAACATTTACCGACCGAAGAAACGTTTGTCGAAACGTTTGTCGAAACATTTGCGAAACATAGTTTGATCAATTATGGCCACGGGAGGAATGTAATCAGGCCCTTGTCGACGATAAGCAGCCGGCAGGCCGGCTATTTTTGTCGCCTTGGCTACGTCATCGTTTAAAGTAGATACGCGTGCGAATCGTATTCTCTTTCTCTCCGTTTCTCCACCGAATCGAATACAAAAAACAAAAAAAAAAAAAACGAAAATAAAAAACAATAACACCTGACGACCCTGGCAGGTATACGAGTACCAGAGGTTGGGGACCAGAGACCGGTGAGCTGTGGCTATTTTGCATACGAGCTTAAAAGAGGAGCGGGTTTTACTCCACCGATGACTTAATCAAGTCTTGGAAATTTCTACCAGCTCTCGTTGGCATTTAAGTACTTGTTGTTATTACTCTTCTTCAGATGATTTTTTTTTGTGGACAAACAATCACCTCTTGCTTTTCACGACTTTAGCTACGAGTGCGAAAGTGCCGGGCAATTAGCTACAATTTTTAATTGCTGCTCAGTCTTCTGTCTGCGATTTTGGCTCGTTAACTCTGCGTCTTTTTCTGTTGGCGACAACTTTCGGACCTCCTGTTAATTCGGAGGCAGAAGTGTGCTCAACTATGGAACTTCCGAGCTCTCTGCTTGACTTCCACTGCCTCAATTCCGGTGTCGGAATTTCGGTGAAACCCAAGCAGACGCTACAATTCGAAAATTATCTCTGTGACGATGTGCTGCTTTTCGCTCGTTACGTATACGCCTGGTAATCCACAAAGCGGCGTTCGAAACTTCAACATGAAAGTAAAAGAATTTGGGGGAAAAGGAAAATAGATTTCGGTTAGAAGCCGTTGGCCCGAAAGAAAATCCATTTGCCATACATCTTTCGTTTTTTCTCTTTGGGCGCCGCTATTCTTTCTTTGCTGCTTCTCTGGTTTTACTACTTCTTAGTTAATTAATTTGATTTAAAAATATGCGTATATGTATTGCGGTCGCTTCGTTCGTTTGCTCTTTCATTTAGTTTCCAGCCATCCAGTTTGAAGACACGTCCGCTTGCAACTAACTCTAAATAAAAACTGAACCGAAAAGATTCTCAACGCTCGCGGCGCACGCAAAAATTGCCAAAAACTTTTCAGTTCCCTTGCTTCGTCTTTCGTCGGCTGTTGATCGTTAACAGCGCACGAAGGCGCAGCGGAAATAAAAGAACGAAAACTGCTAAATCCCCAACTCACCACAAACGTATATCTGAATAAAAGGGGGAAGCGTGTGGAGCGGGCTCTACATATTTTTATTGCTAAGTGTGCTTGACATTGAAAACACTGGGTAAATCAATGCATTTCGGCTATAAAACTGCAGTGAAGTCATATTATTTCAAGAGTAAATAGTACAGCTGATTGAAAAAGCCCTTTTAAAGATTTGCCGGTTTAGATAAGAAATGCCGGCTATAAACTTACCACTAAGAGAGAGTCGCAAAAAGAGAGAGTAAGCCAGTGGAATGGAACAGAGAACCGTATTGAAATCGTTAACAGCGGTCTGTTAACTTCTAACAGTGCCAGAAATCAACTTATTATTACCCGATTACCTCATTTGGTCAAAGTTTTTATTATTATTCGCTTCTGTTGTTGTCAGTTTTCGATTTTCTCTTTTTTTGCGGTACACAAGTGACAAATTGTTCATGCAAATGCATATGCAAATCACAGATTAAATTTGGTTTTGTTTGGGTGCCTAATGAATTTTTATAAGCCTGATAAGATTTGAAAATCCTCGACTTATGAATCAGTCATAGTTCAATTATCGTTTCATTTAAATCTGCTTGCACATATGGTTTCCCTTTTTTATTTTAATTTCTTTCATTTCTCAACGATGAAGTCACCCAACTCAAGTAAAAAAATTTATTTTCACTTGTGCCTTTTTATTTACTCATTATTTTTATGATTTTTTCGACGTACTGTTTACATTTTGCTCACATCACTTTTGCGTTTACCTTCTCGGGCATTTCATCAATGGTATATATGTAGAATTCGCTTGAGAATTGGTTATCTGTACAAGATTTGTGCAAAAATAAAAATAACTTGCTAATGGAGTTAATTGTCGCCTTCTAGATAAACACGTCCACACCGGCAACAGCAGAAATTGTTAAAAATAAATTATTAAATCCCACAAAATGCAAAAGAGGCTTGCGCAATACTTAATGTCTTTTTGTTGATTAGATTGTTGCATGCCGAAACAATGTTATTAATATCTCAAGTGTGTAAATGCATTGAAATTTTGCGTCGCAAATTAGGATATATAATATACATATCTCAGTTGTGACTATATAATTATCGATGACATGCCGCCGGGGGGTATATATTAGATCATTCTTTTCGGCACGATGATGGCATAGTTTATTTATTCAGTTTGGGACAGCCGCACTCGAAAATAAAGGCAATTAAAGGAATTCAGTGAATTAATTCCATAAAAAAAAGAGTTCCAAAAGAAGAATAGTTTCACATGACTTGAAACATTCTGGGTAATATTACTTTTTTAATGATACAAGCACGTTGCCTTGATTGTTATTAACTCAATCAACAGGGAAACGTGATTATCCAAGGAATACGTATTTGATATATCGTAGCCGTCATCGCCTGGCAGCAGTCAAAACATTTGTCATCTCACTCGCTTTAAGCCTCCTGAAAACTTACGCACATTGCGGTCGATTTTGGGGGAAAATGCGAGGGAAATTATAGCCACAGCTGCTGCTCTCATTTTTCAGGCAGACGGTTGTCAGGAAAAACAACAAATTGTGTGTAAAAATAAAACAAAATAGTCTGGGGAAAAAGAGGGGTTGGGGGATCCCCAAAAATTGTGTCAGTGTGAAAGGCCAAAAGGGAGAAAATTGGGCCGCTGTCAACAAATAAAAGTGTTTACGTGATCCGCGGGTATGGTGAGTTTTGAATCTCGTCAACAATTCTAGATGTTGCCGGCAACATGTTGCTAAGATTGTTGCAGATGATAAATAAATTAGCCAATGAAAAGCCGAAAAACTCAAAAGGGAACAATGAAGAACAAAATGAGTTGACAAGTTGGCACGATTTTTGTGTTTTTTCTAGCGCCAGGCAGCAACAGAGAAAAAATATATCAAGCATTTCCGCAAAATTAACGCAAAAAGAATTCCTCTTCGGTTGTGCGGCGCTTATCAAATCACAAAAGCGAGAAGCGTTAAATAATATATATATGTTTGTAGAAAGACCCCTATCGCGATTGATAAGACCAAAGCTTTGGCACAGTTCTTTGAAGAAGGGGATACCCCAAAAAGAAATAAGAAAAAAAACAAATGGTTAAAAATAACAATAAAGAAGAGTTTTCCGTGCCAACTACTCTGTTCTCGGAACCTAGAATTAAACCTAATGTTTTCGGTTAATGGAAGGCCGAGAGGGGCAAAAAAACTATAAGCCTCAGGTTACGTAATGCACAAAACGCCGACAACGAAGCGTAACAGTTGGTCTGACGTCAGTTTTCGACTCAACTATAACAATAATATGGCATTTCGAGGGCCAAAAAAGTCAAACGACTTAGGAAAGGTTTAAAAGCTAGAGAAGAAAAAATTCTTTCGAGAGCTGCAATAAAAAATATAATTATAAAGAAAGTCCAGACTCATAAAAGGTTCCGTTTGCATGAATCACAGTTAGGGAAACTATTTTCACAAGAAATTCACAAGATTTCTCTGCGATCTTAAATTATATATATGAGTAGAAGAAAAACATGATAGGTTCTAAAATATTCGAGTGTAACCAGTTAAATTCTCTTAATTGCCATTCGTTTTCATTAGGCAACAAGTTTGGCAGCTTGATAATGTATGCGAGCCAATTCAATTTCCGGAATTAAACGCTTCGATCGCAGCCTTTGTTTGTGTTTTGTTTGGGTTTGTTTTTCCTTTTTTTTTTTTGGGTCCCAAGTCACGCGTAGTTTAACACAGAACATTGTTGATGGGATAGGGTTCAGGTAATTGGGGGTTTCACTGGGTACTCACTTGGCCTGCTGGTCGACTAACTTATCCACTTTGGCCTGTATGGCCTCCGCCGAGGGTTTGTGTACTTCCCCAAGGAATGTGAGGATGGATTTAGAGAGCGCCTCGATTTCTTTATGTGATGATTTAAGTTGATTTGATTCTTCACGTAATTCCTATGAAACAAAAACGAGAATTTATCAATTAAAATGTTCTTTCAATTAAGAATAATTTGATGGGATCATGTAATGGATGAATATATATCATTTCTAGCCACATTTATACTTTTTTGTAGAACTTGCATAAACCTCATTGTATTTTTATGTGTTTCTCCCTCATTTTCGATTTCATTTCCAGTTTTTTCGGAAGGTCACCAATGAATAAAAGAAAAATAAATTTGTTGACTTGACTTTGCAGCTTTTGGAGCTTGAGGTTATTCGATTGAGAAGAAGTTTTTCGACATAGTGAAAAATGTGATCTAAGCAAAAAATCACAATAAATAAAATTTATAGACTCATTTGGAGAGACGAATTAAAACCTTAACTATATGTTTGCCTTTGTTTATCTTCAATGAGTTTGATGGTTTTTTTTTTTTTGTCTTTATCGTTAGATTCAGCTTTATATGGAATACGAATGACAACATCGTTAGTTCGATATGGCCGGGCATAGCTTTTATGGCTGAAAATTGCTTCAATTGAAATGTGATTTGAAAGTTGAGGTGGGCCTAGTTGATTTTAGTAGCTTTGTTTGTACATTTGTACTATTTATAGTTGTCAAATTGAAAATAAACGTCAAGTGCTGTTATCGCGCCAAACAGTGATCTCACCTAACAACAAATCATTGAAATCATTGCTGATAAGTTGTACGAGTAGTAATTACTGGTTATACTAAAAATGCGGTGAGTATCCTTGAGTATGTAAAGTTATAACAAGTTAATGCAAATAATATGTAAATATAAACAAAAGCCGGGGTATTCAAACAACTTTATCTTTTTTGTAGGTCATAAATCACTTGTGTCTCTGTTTTGCTGGCTCAACTAAAATCAAAAGTCTAAAGAAACCGAAAGTTAGAATGTTGTTTTGGTAGCCATCTCCTTCCTCCCTTGATTACTTTGATTAGTGGCTTTTCGTGTTAATCACTCACAACACATCATTAAATTAATTTTGGACCTGCCTCAGCCACTGAGCCACTCAGCTGGAATGTAGCTTTTCTGAAGCTTAAGAGAGAGTCGCAGAGAGCGGGACAGAGACCACGAGAGCGCAAGCTCCGGTCCAAAACGTGACCATGAACTTGATGTCGGCATGGTGTTCACGTCTATATATATATTTATCCAACACTTACATATCTGCAGGCTTGTGTTTATGCATGGATATTGGTAAAAATATTTGACAAACATAAAAGCCCCCAAGGGAGGGCGAATTGCCATAACGAAACCAAATGAATGAATGGGTGCCGCATAATATATGTATGGCTACACAGAGATATGAAAATGAGTAATATAAATAAAATTAAATTTATCTCAAAATGTTGTATTAAGAAGCCATTTTAAAACATGGAACAAAGAAAAGTTCATCACATATTCGTGATATTGAAATACTATCTTTAAAGAAAAAAACCCAACTAAAATATCTGGATGATTTTAACTCCTATTTCTCAGTGTACCCCTTAAATGTGGCTGGCATGTATGTAAATATCTAAGCCGACCTTAAGCGGCGGACGTGTCGAAGTGTCAACTCACCTGAATGGCATTCTTCGTATCTTCCAAATGACGTCGGGATCTTACAGTCGGATCGACATTGCGGAACTTGTCCTCCAATCGACCAAGTGCCTTTTCCCAGGCGTGCAGGCTGTTCTCGAACCCGTCCCAATGCTCGGCCAACTGTTGCAGGTTGTCGCGTCGCTGCTCCAAACTGCGGACCAGATCCTGCCACGATCTATTCAATCCGGCGTTATCCTGCTCGATCAGCTGGCGGTTTCGGGCGTCGGCCTGACGGATCAGCGATTGGGCCTGCTGATTTACTAGCGTTAGGTCGCTATTTTGACTCTGAAATGTGCGAATAAGAACGACAACAGCGGTGTGAAATAATTATTCTGACGTAACACCGATTCCGGAATCGCGATTTGTACAAAAAATATATAAGAGCTACGTATGAATGCTATAAATTCCAGTTTTCGGTGTTCGGTTCGCTGGTATCGCAATTGTGTAGGTCGTCTTCAATATATGTGCCCTATTTCAACTTTGACATATGTAAGTCTGACCCAAGGAGTTGAAAGGCAAACGCTGCTTAATTCTTATAAAATTTTATAGATTTTTTCACAAGCATACGCACACACACACACACACACACGAATGCACACACACCTCGAGTATAGCCGCTTTTTGTGGCCTTTATTTTGTTTGATTTCTTATTGGTCTTTTATAGATTTCAAATGGCTGATGACGTTAGCCTTTGGCTTTTGTTATTGATGTCTATCTGGGTTGGCTATTTTGTTTTATTTGCTTTTCTATTATTTCTGTTTAATTTGCGCCTTGCCTCAAGCACATGGCACTTTTAAAACGAAACGGGTAATTCAAATTTAACAAATATAGCGATTTCTTCTCTCTTCCTTCTGCTCTCTTTCTATATATATATATACAGTAGAAGTGTAATGCGCGAATCGCGAATATAAAACAAAAACACGCTGGCAACCGCACAGATAAACGTCTCAACTTGAAGTGAATCCGACGGAACGAAAAAAAACCCAACAGGCCCCAAAAGCAAATAAGCACGAGTTAGAATCTCTCTCTTTATTCCCACGAAGAGCTACGCGAAAGAGAGCAGAAAAAGCCGGGCAAACACGTTTTTAAGTCGATTTGGCATTATGTATGTGTGTGGTATATACATTTATTTTTGGGTGGGCGTGGGCGGCTAAAGTTTGGCTTCGCATGTGTACATCACGCATACGCCACCGTGTGCACGTCACTCTCTCTCAATTGGCGGCAGCAACAACAATTCCATGCTGCCGGCTTGCCCTAGAAACCAATAACAACAAACAGTAAGCACAACAACTTAACAGCTGAGTGCAAAAGAGTAAATCTAGTCAAAGAGAGCAACAAAGGGCTTATACTCTTAAAGCTCACAAAAAAATTTGTTGCTTTTGTCTTAACATGTGAGCTGCTTGTTGTATTTAAATTACTTAAAAGGAAACCAGGGATAAGAACAGTAAAGTTAATTAATTCTAAGATCTTACAACTTTAACTTTGATTTTAAACTTTAAATAGTGATTAAGTATTAGTATTTTTATAGTTTTAAGTTTTCTATCCAACAAAATATTGTATTAAATTGTTATTGATTTGAAAAAAATTGCTAAAAATTAATAGGGAAAGAGCTAGACACATTTCTGTAATTTATTAATGTGTTCCCCTTAAAAATTATACTATCCCTGGCTCAAAACTGGTTGATACAGTGTTGCGGCTGCTGATGATGTCATGAGCTTAATTTGTTCCGCGGCAGCAGCAGCAACAACAACAGCTGTTTTTTCCAGTCGCTGAGCATAAAATTCGAGCTTGTGCCTTGAATAAATATAATCGAACTGGAAGTCTGAACGATAAGCAGCTAGCCGACAACTAGCGAAGCGAACTAGTAGGTTAAAAGTTTAATGAGTTGTCAAGGTAAAAGCTTACGAAAGTAAACAAATGGGGACTCAACGTGTTCAATAAAACAGTACCAGCTTAAAAGTAAAGAAAGAGATTAAAAATCTGGAACTAAGAGAGGAGAGTTCCCTAAGAGAAACGCACTCGACTGCAATCGAAAGTGAGTGTGCATTTCGTTGAGAGTGTATCTCTTGGTTTTGCCGGCCGGCAAATCTCCGACTACAAAATGCAAAAGACGAAAAAAGGAATGCACTTTGGTTGTTTTTGGTTCCAGTCCATAAAGTTGCTCTTGACTGGATACATTCACATATGTAAGTATGTTTGTGGCACATCCTTGTGCAATGTGTCATTTTTTGGAAAACAGGTCTTTCGACTATACACATATATGAACGAGGCATGCAACCGAACAGCTGAATATTCATGGCTGCTATAAGGAGTGCCTTAAACACATACTAAAGTTAGCATATGTAGTATCCATATGGTGGACTTGCATTTAAAAAATAATCACATTGGTAAAAGTTGGGTGCCATAAAAGTGGAAGAAAAATGTTTTGTAACCCAGAATTAGAAAGGTTTAAACTATATGTATATGTTTTTTAAAAGTGAGATACCAACATTGATGGTGTATACTTAATTTTATCACTCATCCGCCCCGTTAACTAGCATACATATTTTCTATTGTACATAAATATTTTTGGAGAAGGGAAACCCATTATTTTATGATTTCTAATTTAAAGAAAACTCACCTGGACATTTCCGATGGCGTGGGTCAGCTTCTGGATGTTGAAGTGAAGTCCGGCCAAATTCTGGACAGGCTCATCGCTGAACTTGGTGCGTTCGATGGTCGCCTTGACCCTATCGATGGACTGTTGGTATTCCCTCCAGCGCTCCGCCTCCTTCTCCAACTCACTCTGCTGGGTTTTGGCATTGGCCAGAGTATTGGTCAATTTGGTTTGGAACTGAGCCAATTCCGCGGAAAGTTCCGACTGTTCGTAGTTGTTCAACGAAGACCAGATCTTGTCGGCGGCCTCCTGGATCTGCTTGTGCACCAGATTGCGGATGGGAGCCTCGTTGCCAAAGAAGATCTTGTGTTCATCGAGATCCTGGACCAGGTGCTCGTAGTCGATGCCATGCTGGCTGTTCTGCAGACGCAACTCAGCCTCGTGAACCCAATCGTTGAACTTGGCCACCAGCTGCATGTACTCCAAACGAGAGTCGCGGTTGTTCTTCAGGTACTTCTCACGCTCCTCGAGTTCGTGGGGCAGAGAGGCCACCAGGGATCTGCCCTCGGAAAGCATTTCCAACAGAGAACTAGGCATTCCAATCTCGGTTTTAACACCATCATTGATCTTGTTGAACTTATTGAGATACGATTCAATGTCCTGGCTGAGACCCTGGTGCTTCTGCAGCTCCCGCTCGACTGATTCGGGATCGCGATCCAAAAGAGGACGTGACTTGGCTGCTCCTTCGTGGCTGTGAAGCCAATCCAGGATTTCACTTAGTTCAGCGGCCATCTTCTTGTGGGATTCCAGTTGGAGTTGATGCTTCTGGCGCTGCGACTCCACAGCCTTGCGGAGGTTCTGCAGCTGATTCTTCAGGGATTGCAGTTGCTCGGTGATGCTGTTCTTGTCGGCAGCATTGCCCTCGGAGGCAATCTTCTGGCCCTTGTCATTGGCGGAGGCCAGGACACCCTCGCACTCCTGGATCTTAACAATGACATCGTCGTACTTGTTGATCTTGTCCTCCAAACTATCAGGGGAGTTCTCAATATCAATGATAACATCAGTGTACTTCATTATGAAGGCAATAATCTCGTTGATCAAGGCAATAAACTGCTCGCGGAGCAACAAAAGCTGACGCAGATGGGCCAACTGATCTTCGATCAGCTTGATCATGTCATCCTGTTGGGCCAAGATGCTCTGCAACTCTGGCAAGTCGTCCATTTGCATATCGCCCATCTTGCTCTTGCTGTCCTTAAGTTCCTTGAGAATTCCTTCGTAGGCGCCCAGCAGATCCTGGACATCTTCGATCCTGGAGCCAATGGGACGATTGAGTTCCCTGAGCTTCTGCTGAATGTTGCCCAAGAACTGACTGCACTCGGCCAACCTGCTCTTGGCATCCTTGTACTTCTTGATGTGGTCACCCAGGGCGTTCACGCGATCATCGATGGTGTTCTTGATCCTGCCATAGCGATCCTTCATGTTCTTGATGTCGTCGTTAAGCTTCAGCTTGTCGGCATTGCTCAAAGTGGGCAGGATGCTCTTTCCTTGCTCGGAAACATCGTTGATCAGACCTCCCTTGTTCTCGGCATCGCCCAGGAGCTTCTTGTAGTGAGCCAACTGCTCCTCCAAAACTGGAAGACTTGTGGTGCGCAGTTCACCTTCGGTGGCGGTTTCCATTTCGTTCAGCCAATCGCCCATGTTCTTCATCGAGTCCTCAAAGGCCTTGCGACCCTGAAGGAGATCATCCAGGGACTTTCCTCTCTTGCTGCTCTCATCCTTCAGAGTTTGATAATCGGCGGCTATTTCATCAAGGATCTGCTGCAGGGCAGCCTTGTCGCCATCGTCGCAATCCTTCATGATGTTGGCAGCCTGTCGCTGAACATCAGTTAAAACGCTGTCGTTGAACTGCTTGGCATCGTCATCGTATTTGCGGTTCTCCTGGATCTTCTTCTCGATTTCAGCGGAGGTGAGTGGATGATAAACTGGCAGTTTGCGCACTTCAGAGATTTTGGTCTTCAACCATTGGCGAGCCTTGTCCAGATCGTTCTCCAGGGATTTGCGAGCCTTGCTGGCCTCCAGAGCACGATCGAGTTCTGCTTTGAGAACTCCGGATAAATTGCGATTCTCAGTGTTGAGATTGCGCAATGCCGACTCCAGTTGGGAATACTCAACGGGTTCCAATTCCTGTTGCATGTTGGCCACGCGCTTCTCGAGAACATCGGCGAGGGATTGCTTGGCCTCGGCATCCTTCATCAGGCTCTTGATCTTCTGCTGGCGGGCCTCGGCATCCTTGGGCGTGTAGCCCAAGGGAGTGGGGCGCCTGCAGCTCCTCGATCTGCTGTTTCACCCAGTTCTGGAGCTGATCGATCTCGCCCTTGGCTCCCTCCACTCCCTTGTTGGTCACATCCAGCAGTTGGGCCTTGCGATCGATGCGTTTGCCGAGATCGGCGAAACGGCGATCCAACGACTTCATTTGCTCCTCGACCTGCTGGCCATCCAGATTGCTGATGACCTCCGCCACCTGCGATGCCTTGCCCTTGAGCTCCTGGATCTTCGGGTGACCTTGCAGCTCGTATTCGTTCTTGATCTCGTTAATGGCGGCCGTTTTCTGGGCACAATTCAGACCGGATCCGCGATCCAGAACATCCATGCGTTTGATCAGGGTATCGAACCAGTTCTGGACATCAGCCATACCCTGGCGATAGCCATCGATTACATTCTGGCCAGCCTGCTTCTTGGCAATGGCATCCATGAGTTCCGATTCGAGTTTGTCGATGTTGTCATCCAGATCGGTGTCTTCATCGCCCACTGGTAGGTGAAATATTAAATCAATTAATTAGGAGGGTCATAAAGATGACCAAGGTTTCTGACTTAGATGTATCTTAAGGATTAAATTTAGTTTTAATAGTATAACTTACATGATCCTGTCATCTCCAGCATCAACTGCGATCTCTTATCTCCAATGGAGTTTAGTAAATCATTCATGGACACTAGCTCCTGTTGAGCTGCCTCAGGACGCAGTTTGCAAGGACGCATCATCCAATCGGAGACGGAGCTCTGCTGCTTCTTAACCCAATCCTGCAGCTCGGCGCGCTGCTTCTGCTGTTGCTCCAGTTCGCTAACGGATGCAGTCAAGCCACCCAAGTGGGATTGCACCTAAGGAAAGGGAATCCAATCAAGAATTAGCATTTCCATATGTTTCTAAATAGTGCAATAAAACCAAACAAGCAATTATTAGTATTAAAGCCATGCAATCCGCCACCTGAGGGATCCTTTCTGGATTATATCCCTACTCTTACCTTAGCAACCAGTTCATTCAGCTTGCCCACATGGGCGCTATTCAGACGAACTATGCGACGATAGTTGCTGACACGCTCGTGGGCAATCGGATCCAGAAGCCCCTCATTCACATCGCCGAGCTCAACCTGGATCTCAACATCATCGGCATCTTCATCATCATCTTTGTTGACACCTTCGGTTGAGCTCTGAGTCTTTGGAGGCGGTTTCTTTATGGCAGCAAAGCGCAAGGCATAGCATTTTTTTCGAGTGTATGGTGAATTATACAACAGTTACGGGAGTGCGGCAAATCAACAAAAGTTAGGGCAGTGTTGGGGTTGTATGGTATTAATAAAGGGATTAATAAAAAGAACAAAACATTGGTTAGAAAATCATAGTTCAATACAAGAAAAATGGAATGGAAAAATATGTTTTTTACAAAAAAGAAATTACGGTTTTTTTTATCATAAATATATAGATGTTGAAGATATGTGAACAATACTAAGCTACTCAAGATATTACAAATAAATGAAGTTCGATATATTGATACACAATCCTTCCATTCCTTTTTGGAAATATATGAAATAATTTCAATCTACTAAATGTGAACACAAGGCTACAAATGCATAGCTGTAGGGATTCAATGCTATCCTACCTGATCCAGCAGATCCTCGAGCTTGGCGCGCACAATGAGCTCCCTTTCGGGAATGGCCTGCATGGCGGTTTCCAGTGGAGAACTTGGACGACTTATGGAGGCAGTGGCTGCCTCACAGGCCTGAACGGCAGCTGCCAAACGAGACTTCTCGTTGTTCAACTTGTTCTGCATTTCCTGGGCACATCTCAACTGGTTCTGAGCCAACTCCAGACTCGTGGCCGGGGCATCCAGTTCGGTTTGGATGATGGGCTCGTAGGTCTCCAGGTTACGCATGATGCTATCGAGGGTGTCCTCGTACTCCTGGAACTTGGCCAGCGACTCGAGAAGGCGGTTCTTGATCTGCACCGAGGTTTGCAGTAGGGAGTTGTAACTATCCTGGATATTCTTCAGCTGGGATTCAACCGTGGGACGAATGGCCGGAGTTGAGTTCTCGTAGCGCTTGATCTGCGCCTGACCCTTGGCATTCAGGTCATCCAAGTTGGTCTGATACTTCTGGATCTCACCCAACAAGGCCTCGTGCTGTTTGATCTGCTCCTGGGTTTGCTCCCGATTAGAGATGAACAGCGAATTGTGGGCCATCAGCTGGAAGGAGATCTGCAGCAGCCACTTCTCCACGTCCTGCAGACTCTGGTGGTAGGCATTATAGTCGAACATCTCCTGTTCGAGCGCCGCAATATGAGCGGAGCAATCGTTCTTGAGCTTGTCGCATCGGGATTGCAATCGATTCACTGCATCCACTTCGGTGCCCAGATCACGGGCCTCCGACTGTAGCTGCTCCAGCTCGTTGCCCTTCTGTTTCAGCTCATTCGAAAGGGTCTTGTAGCGCTCCAGCAGGGTCTTCATCTCGCTCAGTTCGCCCTTGGTTTCCGGTGCCACCTTGAGAGTCTTCTCGGTTTCGTTCAGCCACTTCTCGAGTTTGTCCTTGTTGGCAGCGAAGTCGTTCCAGCGGTTCTGGGCCTGCTTCAGATCGCTCAACTTTTGCTTGACAGCCAGACCCAGGGCATCCCAGTCCTCACGGACCTTGGTCATCAGTTCTCGCAGCTTCTCTTGCTTGTCTTCGGGCGTGATGTTCGAGGCCTTCGAGTAGGCATCCTGCACCAAAGCCAACAGATGCTGACCTTCTGGGAGGCGAGAGGCCAAGGACTGCAATAGAAGTTAATAAATTCATAAGTTAAATAAACAACTTCATAACACAGGATGTTAAAACTTAAAAGGAGTTCCGATTTGAAGAAATAGGTATAGTATAGTATAGTAACTTACATTAACAGTATCCACTTTCTGGGCAATAATGGCGGCATCACCCTCCGTGGAACAATCATCCAGAACCTGTTGAGCCTTCTCAATCCAAGCATCCATTTCCTTCTTGTAGTTGAGGAACTCTGTATGATCGGACAGATTCTTCTCGATCTTGGCAACCAATCCCTGGGCGGAAGTCAAGAGCTTAGTGTAGTTGGCCTGAGTTTCGATGGTCTGATCTCGAATGCGAGTGCAGGCACTCTGCTCCATTAGCAACTCGCAGTTGTCATTCAGATCCTCCACATTATCTTTTTCGGCCAGCACTTCCTCAAGCAGTTTCTAAGGAGAAACAAAGACTTTAGTTTCATATTCAAACACTAATTAGTGAAAGCACATAAAGCAATTAGGCATTAGACAAGTGTCTGTGTAAATGATTAGCTGCAATTGAGTATACAAAGTGATTAGCTGAAAAGTTAGCAGAAGTGATTAGTGAGGGTTAAGTACATGATTCAAATTCTCACGGTTCAAGGTATTTAGATACAAATTTTGTAGTCGGTGAGAATTCTACATTACGTGCGCGCTTTTGGCTAAATATATATATTATATTCGATTACATGTTTAGTACTTTTTTTTTTGGTTAGAGGTGCGTGCGACAGTTGCGAGTTGCGAGATCTCGACTCGACGAAGAGTTCTTACCTTGGCATTAACCAAATCTTCGGGGGTCTTGTTCTCGCCTTCCTGCGATTTGGCAACGCGCTTGCTCATCGTATCGATCCACAGGTTGATCTTGTTGAACTTCTGCAGGAATGCCTGCCAGGCAGCCAAGCAGGCCTCCAAGCTGCTGCGTGCATCGCGGGACAAACCCTGGAGGGATTCCCACTCCGAGGTGAGGTGCTTGATCTCCTGGGCCACATTGTCCTGGCCCTCGCTTCCGCTGGTGGCAATCACCGCCTGACTGAGTTCTTCGCAGGCTTCCAGCAGGGATTTGCCCTCTATGGAGGAGGATTGTATGTCTCCCAAGCGATTCAGGCGACTCTCCACTTGATCCTTCTCGCCATGACAATCGGCACACTGCTCTACCTCGATGCGAGTGCGACGCAGCCAGTCCTGCAGCTCATTGTAGGCCTGCTTGTATTTCTCGTGGCTGTTCACCTGGTTCTCCAGCGACTCAATGATCTTGTTCACCTGCGTCTGCAGTTCATCGAATTTGCCCAGACCCGGTTGGAAGTCGTTCAGATCCAAGCTGTTGTCCTCCTTCAGACGCTGATTGATTTTCTCAACAATATCGTTGTGTCCATTGATGTCGCGCTGAATGACGCGGAACTTCTCCAGAGCCGCGCGCTTCTCGCTCAAATCATTCAGGAACTCATCACTGGCCTTTACACTTGGCTCCACATCTTCCAGCCATTCGACCAGGATCTTGTACAGCTTGAAGATCTCCTCCAGCTGGGCAAGTCGATTGGCCAGTTTCTGGCGAACATCGTTGAGATCCACCAAGAGTTTGTCGAAGTCCTGCTTAAGGGACTCGGTGTCCTCCTGAATCTTGGCTGCTCCGTTCTGTTCAGTGTTCATGATCACCTTCTCCTTAAGTTCCAAGAGATAACGCAGCTTGTTTTGTCCCGTTTCGAAACCTTGACGAAGGTTTTTCACGGTGTTCAGTTTGATTTGAACTTCGTTGAGAGTTCCGGGTATGTGATCACACTCGGCGAGTTTCTCGCGGGTCTTCTCAATCCACGATTGACACTCCTCGTAGAGACTGTGATGCTGCTGATGCTCCTGGTAGTGCATCTCCAGACGACGCATCACCTCCTTGGCCAGAGTCAGAAGAGCATTGTACTTGGTGGTCAACTGCATGATGGCGTTGCTGATCCTTGTATCGGAGCAAGTCTCCAAGAGGAGCTGAGCCTTCATGTTCAGATCATCCAAGGTCTTCTGCCAATCGAAGAGGGTTTGCAGATGTCCTTGGAATTGTTCCAGAACAACCTTCTTCTGGATCAAACTATCCTGCAACTTGTTATAAGACTGCACCAAGGCTTCGGTCTTGCTTAACCACTCCAAAGCTTCGGTGTACTGATCCTGGTAGTCTGACCACTTGACAATGCCCACTTCCAGATAATCCTTGGCCTTGTTGAGGGCTTCCCTGTAGGCATCGAATTCCTCTTGAAGGAGGGCCACTTCCTGCTCGATGATTTCACAATCCTCGGGCTCGGCACTTCGGCAAGCGATCTCACCCTGTTCCAAAGCATTCTTAAGTTTCTGAGCTCCTTCTGGCAACTCTCCCTGCAGAATCTTCAGCTGATGGGTCTTCTCTGCCAGAGCTTGCTTATCTCCCGTGGGTTCAGAGCACTTGCTTAGCCGTTCCTTGGCGTTTCTCAGCCAGGTAGCGAATTCATTTCCGGCATCAATCAAAGACTGATAGCTCTCGATGGTGTTCTTCTGCTTCTCATACAGATCCTTGGCTTGCTTGGTGAGGTTCTCGTACTTATCCGAGATCTCAGTGCCCGGAGCACCTTGCTGCAGAACAGATGCCTTGGATGTTACCGACTGAATCATTGGTTCAAAGGAAACTATATCCTGCACAATGTTGTTTGTCTGCCGGAGATTGGCCTTGCGTTCGCTCAAGCCACTGCTAAGACCTGGTTGACCACGCTTGGACTTAACGATCTTCTGTTCACAAGCCTGCTGCAACTTGGCCTCCCTGTCGGTGATCCATTGCTGCAACTGCGAGTAGCTGGAACTATAGTCCGCCCATTGCAACAGATTCGTTTCGAGTTGCACCTTAGCGGTGGACATTTTCTTGACCAAGCGATCCCATTCCGTTTGGAGTTCCTTCATCTCGCTGTTGATTGCATCGCGTCCATCGGAGCGTGTGTTCCTGATTATCTTCTCGCCATTATTGATGGCAGTGTGGACCAAGTTCTGGCCAACCTCACGGTTGCGAATCAGATCCTGGATCTGCTCCAGGCGTCGCTGGAGAGCCTCCTTAGAGCCAGCTCCCTCGCCTGCCGACTGAATTGTGGCCTTGGCATTGGCGATCCAATCCTTCGCGGATTTCATATTGGCGTCGTATTCGCGATGCTGATCTCGATTGGTTTCCACTTTCTTGAGGACATCCTTGGCTAGATTAACCTGTACCTGATAGACGGAACCCAAGTGCCTCAACTGGTTGTTCACATAAGTATCCAGGTGAGACTTCAGCAGACTGGCAGCCGAAGCATTGAATTTATCAATATCATCCTTGCCCTTTTCAAGACGATTCATCACCTCCTTCATATCAGCCACCTGCTTCTCTTTCTCTGGCAGGTTGGGACAGAGGTTCAGCTTGTGGTTCTTTACAAGGATGTCGATCTGTTGCAACCATTCCATCAGCCGCTCGTACTCCTCCTTGTAAGCTCGCCACTGCACCATGGTGACCTCGAGGTTCTCCTTTTGCTGGTTGATTTCACGGAACAAACCTTCGAAACTATCACGCAATGATCGGATGTCATTCCTTATGATCTCCTGACCCTGGGGAGAGGTACTAGCAAGTACAACTTCTCCCGTGTGAACCAGATGTTCCACCAGAAGTTCACCCTGTGCCTGTTTGTTGAGAAGAGCTTCAGTGGCTTGAACAGCATTCTCAATAGCCAATTTATCGCTCAAGCTGCTCTGTTTCAGCGAAGGGAACTTCTCGCGGGCGCGTCCAATCCAGCTCGCCAAGTCATCGAAGGCCTCCTTGAACAATCTATGATCCCTGTACTGATCTTGACGATCTGACAGCAGTTTCTGGGTCTTGGCGAAGAGTTCATCGAAGGTATCGAGTACCTTTTGGGCCTGGAAGGCGGCCTGACTCTGTTGGCCGCTGGCAATCATTTCCTTGGCTTGGATCTTGAGGGCATCCACATCGATCTTCTCCACGCGGACCTTCTCTTCAGTGGACTTAACCCGATCTAACTGAGCTCGTTTCTCTGACATGGTTGTCTGATGCTCACTCAATTCCTTAACCAGACCGTCCAACCACTCGTTGAACTTTCGAACATTCTGCACTTGATCCAGGAAACCAGACCATTGAGTAATAGAGTCATCCAGATTAGACTTAACATCCATGATGCGCAAGGCAATTCCTGACCACAGATCTTGAAGGTCTGTAAGCTCCTTGTTGATGGCCTCATGTCCTGCCGGAGCAGTGTTAGCCAACACATGCTGAGCCTGCTCCAGGATCTTCAAGACACGAGCGGAACCTTCGTCCTTCAGCAAGATTACATCCTGAATAGTGGCCATTTTCTTATCCAGTTCTTTGGGACTCATCGAGGACATATCGGAGCAGTAATCCAACTTCTCCTTGATGTCATTAATCCATGATGAGCAGTCGGAGATGGCGTTGTCGAAGTCCTCGTGGGAAGTCACATACTGCTGCCAACGGTTGTTGAGCTCCTTGACCTTGTGGAAGATTTGCTGGTACTTGGTCACCAACTCGGGACCCGAAGCACGATTGCTGCTGGGACCCTTCAACAGGGTTTGAGCCTTCTCCGTGACGTTGTCCACCTCCAATTCCTTGGCACGAACGTCTCCTTGAAGAGCCTTCAGAGCATCCAATTGAGCTCGCTTCTTTGGCAGATCCTCCTTAAGATCGATGGCGTGCAGGTTGTTATCCGTATCACGAATCCAGGCCAGACATTGGTCGCGTAATTGTTCGTATTCCGACCAATGCTGAAGACGAGCTTCAATGGCTTCAATGGTGGAGCTGATCGTGGCCAGTAGACTCTCCCATTCCTGCTGGGTGCTGTCGATCTGGGACTTAATGTTTACTTGACCCACATCAACGGTGCCCGGAATAACCTTCTCGCCCAAAGCCCTCACTTGATCAACTCGAGGGAATTCATCGGCCAAACTGGCCTTCAGATTCTTCAGACGATCGAGGTTTGTGTGCAGTGAGATCTGTTCCAAATCTAAATCGCCCCAGTAGTGAACCGTATTTAGAGTAGCATCGATAAACTCCTGAGCATCCATCACGGCCTTGGAGTACTGCTGATGGGCACTAACAATGCCTTCATACCGCTCCACGTAATTCTGGGCACGCTTTTGCAGCTTGCCAAACCGATCAGAAATGTCCTTGAGGATTTGGTCCACCAGATCCGTTTTCTCTGGCAAATTGGCAGCAATCTCTTGAAGATTACCCAACTCCACCTGGTGGTTGTTGATATCGTTAAGGATATCGCGATAGGTCTGCAGCTTGGTGCGTTTCTCATCCAGCGTTGTTTTCAGTTCAATATCAGCTGGAAGCGCATTCTCCGTTTCGTCCAACCAGCTCTTCAGGTTGTCAGCAATCTCATCGAAGCCAGACCACTTGGCAATCTTGTCCTGAATCTTCCTTGCAGTGATGGCAATGTTGTCGAACAACTGATCGAAGGTCAGATCATCCAGCTGGCTGCGAATAGCTTCGCGTCCCTCGGTGGCAGTGGATCCATAGCACTTCTCGCCCAGCTCAACGGTGCTATTGAGCAGCTGAGTAGCAGTTGGCTGCTGTGCCAGGAGCTCCTGGATGACAATTTGCTTCTTCAGGAGATCGTCACGAGAAGCCACGTTCGACAGATCACAGCAGTCATCGTAACGAGCCTGGGCATTGGCCAACCAATCGGCGCACTGCTTGTACTTGTCATTGAAGTGACCGTGATCCTGGACAGCCTGCTCGCACTTCTTGAGGATCTCCTTGGCGGTGGCCTGAATCGATTGGAATCGCGAGGATACCTGCTGCACATTGACAGCAATCCTGGTTTCGCCAGAGCTTTGCACCAGCTCCGAGGTGTCGTCCTTCATCTTGTCGAAGTCAGCTTCGTTTTGACGCAAGTTCTGAGCCAGGGATTGGAATCGGTTGAGCTGCTCCTCCTTCTCCTCGAACGAGGATTTCAGGTTGTAGTTCTTCAGAGCGTTCTCCGCCTCGCCCAGCCAGTTAATCAGGCGATCCAAGTTGATCTCGTAATCGTTCCATTGCTGAAGACGATTCTCCAGACCACTCTTCACGTCGCTCAGAGAAGCACCAAACTTCTCGAAGTCGGCATGCAAGTTGGCCAGATCACGGGCCATTGCCTCCTTGGATCGGGCGGGAATATTGCTGGCCTGTTGCTCGATGTGATCCTCCAGCGACTTCAGTTTGGCCACACCCTCCGGCAAGGCATCTTGAATCTCGTTGATCTTTTGAAGACGCGCCTGTAGAGCTGCCTTGTTGCCAGAATAGTCGGAGTAACCGGTTAGGCGATCCCAAAGATTCTTCTGGTAGTCCTGCTGGGCCTTCTGCAGTTCACTGAACTGCTGGTACACATCGAATGCTCCGTCCAGATCCGCAACTAACTTGGCACAGTCCTGACCAACCTGCTCGTATCGCTTGTTCACCTCGGCCACCGCCTTGGAAATCTCATCCGCATTTGCAGGAGCTGCGCTTCCCAAAAGAGCCGCTGCCTTTTCATTCACAGCTTCGACGATGCGTTTATGGGAGTTGATGTCCTGGTTGGTGGCTTTGTATTTGTACAACTTGGAGCGGATTTCCTGAGCGCTGGTCCAGCTGGCAGGGTTCTCGTTGTGAATCAGTTTCTCCACTTGATCCAACCAGTTGACGGTTTGATTGAGAATATCCTGATAGCTGGAGAGCTGTACACCTTGTGCCTCCTGGCGTTTCTCCAGATTGCGAATGCCCTCGTCCAGTTTGTCCCAACGATCGCGGATATCTCGCAGATCCTTGCGAATCTTCTCCCTTCCCTGAGTGGATGTCTCTGGCAGGGCTTTTTCCCCAGCAGCATTTAGAGCAGCGAACAAGCTCTCTGCTTGCTCCTTTTCGGATAGCAGAACTTGCAGGATATTCGAGCTCTGAGTGGGTTCATCCAGGAGCACCTTCTCCAGCTGGGCTTCAATCGGCTGCAGCCACAAGTCAACCTCGTTGTACTTGTCTTGGTAGAACTGGTGGTCGTCCACGAGATTGGACCAGCGGTTGACCACTTCCTTGCTGAGCACTTGAAGCAGCTGATAGCGATTGGTGATCTGAGTGGTTAGAGTCTTCAGACGATCGGCTCCACAGTTGTTGAGCAAAGCATGAGCAGCATCTCCAAAGGCATCGATCTCCTTCTCCTTTTGGAGAATCAACTCCCTTTGGATCTTGTACTTCTCCAGCTGCTCCACTTTCTCGTGGAGAGTGGACTTCAGCTGCTGCTCCCGGAAAACAGCCTCCGCCTCGCGACACCACTTGGTCAGCTCTTCGAGAACCTTTTCGAACTTATCCCATTGGGCAAGCACGTCCTTCTGCTTGCCTTCGATGCCCTCGATGTCATCAAAGTGGCTCTTCATGGTGGTTTCCAACTCCTCGATCTCCTTGTCGAGCACTTCGTTGCCCTTTTCGGAGGTCGTGGCTTTCACCTTTTCAAACAGTTCACGAATATCGCTGATCAATTTCAAAGCCTGTGGTTTGTTCTGAGCCAACTGACCCAAAGTCTCGATCTTTCGCTTAATGTCAGCCTTCTCGCCATAAGCATCATCGCACTCCAGTAGCTTGGCCTTCTCGTTGGAGATCCAAGTCTTGGCGGAGGACAAGGCATTGTTCAATTCATTATGCTTCTGGACACAATCCTCCAGATTGTGCAGGATCTCATCGGACTTTTGGACGATGCTCTGGAAAAGTTGTTTGATCGAGGCCAAGTAGACATTCAACGAGTTATCCTTGATCTGATCCACCAATATCTGAGCCTTGTCGCAGACATTATCAACCAGAACATTGTGCGTGGTGATTTCCTGATGGAGGAGCTTGTGGTTCTGCAGTTGAGCACGCTTCTCCTGCAGAGTCGTCTTCGGTTCGGTGTGGCTCTGCATGGCCTTGTCCACGTCCTTCAGCCACTTGGTGAGCTGATCCTGGGCAATGCTGAACTCGTTGAACTGCAGCAGGCACTGATCAATCTTCTGGGTGGCCGAGTTCAAGTCATCTGTGTAGTTGTCCCACAGAGTGCGAAGAGCACGCAGCTGCTGTCGAATGATTTCACGGCCTTCCGGACTGGTGTGTCCATAAAGCTTCTCGCCACGATCGATGAGACCCTCGAAAAGAGTGGAGTCCGAAATGCGCTTATCTGACATCTCACGCAGTTTGTTCTGCTGATCCTGCAGAACACTCTGATCTCCGGTAATTTCATTGGTCTTGGCCAGCTCGTCAACCGAGGACTGAAGACTCTGCTTGAAGGCATCAAAGTCTTTGTCGAAGCTCTCGTGATCCTTCACATAGTTCACGTACTTGGCTATCGACTCCTTGCACAAATTTTTTAGGGTCTGATAGCGAGTATTCAGGCGGGACAACTTCAGGTTCAAATCGGTTTCACCCTCGATTTCACGACCTTGATCCATCAGCTCATTGATTGCCGAGCCACGGCGTTCGATTTCCTTGGCGATTTCTTGCAACTGCTTCAAATGGGCATTCTTGGCATCCGCTGTGCTCTTAAGATTCTGATTCTTCACAACAGCCTCCACGTTCTTCATCCAGTTGTCGAGCTCTTCAATAATTGTATCGAACTCATCCCATTTGGAGCAGAGCTGCTTCAGTTTAACCAACGAATCCTGACACAGAGTCATGAAGTCCTCCCAGGATTGTTTTGGCTCCTCGAAGCCCTTGAGCAACGCAGGATGGCCACTTGGATGGGTTTGTGTGAGCACCGTTTCCAACAACTTGTGGCAGGTATCGAAAATGGAATCTCCCTCTGGTTTGTGCTGCAATAGATTCTCCACCACAAGCAGCTTCTCCTCGGCACCCTCCTTCTCAAACGTAGTCTCGTTGAGAATATCAATGGCTTCGGATTTGATGGTGTTCAACCAGTCTTGTGCCTTTTCCAACACCTGATCGTAGGCCTCGTGCTTGACCACATGATTACCCACGGTTGTGATCCTATCGGATATCTTCTTTGAGAGGGTGTTGTACTCCTGGATGGATTCGTCGGTCTTTCGCTCTGACTCATCATCGCAAAGGGTGACAGCCTTGTCGTGCAATTGCTTCAGAGCGTTCTTGTGAAGGGTGATCTCCTGGAGCTGGGTCTTGTAGTTCTGGAGAGCAGCCTTCTTGGTGGGCAAAGTTGGGTACAGTTCGTCCCCGGCGGGAACCTTGGCCTTCGATTCGTTGAGGTAGTGCGAAACCTGAGTGTAGCTTTCCTCGATGGAGGTCTTCTGGATCAGCACACCCTCAACCTGCTGCATGAAAGCATTCGCCTCATCCCGCAGATAATCGAATTTCTCCCGCATTTGGCGAAGATCAGAACGGATCCGTTCGCGGTTCTCGGGGAAACAACTGGATACAAGGCTTCGCCAATGTCCACAGCGTTGTTCAGCAGAACCTGACCATTGTCGAAGGTCTTGATGTAGTTCTTGACGGTCTGCAGTTGTTGAGCTGTGGCCGAAGAAGATCCCGGCGATCCCATGCGAGCCAGTTCTTGGAACTCGATCTTGGCATCTCCGAACCATTCGTTGAAGTCCTTGGCTGCCTTGGCAAAGTTGGCATTCGACAACTGAGCACCCCGGATCTTATCGATGTAACCATTCAGAGCTTTAGAAACTGCCTGATAACGCTGCACTAAATGAGTGACAAACTGTCCAATTCTTGCCTCTGGATTCTTTTCAATCAGCTGTTGGGATGTCTGCTCGAGGTTGTTGATAATGGGTTCGTGAGCCAGCACATCCTGTTGGAGTATGGACAACTCCTGCAGCTTCTGTGGCACCTCGGGTAGATTAACTTGGCTGCTGGTCTCCGCCTTGACACGTCCTTCAACGTCACGCAACCAGTTGGAAATCTGCTCGTTCGATTGCTCGTACTGCGACCACAAGTCCACGTTCTCGTCGAGGATTCCCTTGATTTTGTCGAAGCTGTCCTGCAGAGCCTGCATGTCCTTGCGAAGCAACTCAGCATCGTTGGTAAGTTCGGCTAGATTTTGTGGCGATTCCACAGCCTTCAGCATTTCTAGGGACTTAAGGGTCTCGGCATGTCGTGCCTTGCAATCATCAATGCTCTTGCTGACCTCCTGAAGCGAGGACTTCTTCACATCCAGGTTGTATTTGTCACTAGACGACTCCGGCTGACACCAGGCAACCTTTTCGCGTTGGGTGGCAATGATGCGCTTCAGCATGCCCACTTTATCGGCGTGGAACTTCTTAAGGAACTGCAGCAGGGAGCTCTCGATCTTCTTGGCATACAGATCTACGTTCTCATAGCGTTTCTGCACATTGTTCAGTTCTTTGGGTATGATGGACTCACTGAAAGTGGGATACAGATTACGCAGCTCATCGACCTTCTGTTTAATGTTATCGATCTCGTTTCCGCTGTTGTCCAGTTCACCACGCAAGGCTCGGCATTGCAGTAGACGTTCCATGATCTTATTGTTATCACCAGACATGTCATCGCATTTGATCAACTGCTCACGGAGTTTGCTCACCTTTTCGCCAGCTTCCTTGGAGCGTTTGCGCAACTCTTGTTCCTGATCATTAAACGAAGTGGTAACAGCACTTAGGCGATCAGCATTGTTGCTCACTTCAGCGAACTGCTCAGTCAAGAGTTTGTTGAGAGCGGACAGAGCTGGAATCTCTGCACCTTTGTTAATCTTCACCAAGTCATTGGTCTTCTCCACAATCGAATCCTTCAGAGCCTGATAGGAAGGCAACTCCGTGCGATATTTGCTCAGACGCATAGGACCAAACTCGATTTCGATGGAGTTATCAGCAGCATCGCAGAGTCCCTGGTTTGTTTCGGACAACCAGGGAAGCAGATCCTTCTTGGCATCTTCAATCTGCGACCAAATAACCGCTTCGGTTTCGTAGACATGGGCATTCTTGGCTGTCTTGTCGTGCAGATCCTGCCAGGTTTGCTTGGCAGTGGCTACCTCTTGTGGGACTTCCTGTGGAATTGGCTCTCCAATGGCACTGAAAAGTTTTCCCACATTGCTGCCACGTCGCTCCAGTTCATCCAAGCTGAGCTTGGATTTGCGCAACTGTTCCATGGTCTTTCTGGTCTTCTCGGAAGCCTGATGCAGTTCAGTTTCATCGCGTGGCTGTTGGGGAATGGCATTGAACAAGTCTTCTGCCTTCTTCAGCTCCTTGGAGAACTTATCCTTGGAGTCAGCGTATTCCCTCAACGCCTGGCTGATCAAGTTGTATTTCTGAATGCGATCGGCAATTTCGTTCTGAAGGGAATCGTAGTTCTTATCCATGATGAGGAGGCTCTCCTGAATGGCAGGCATGCTGGCAATATCTTCACGCATCAGCAGAGAACCTTCGTCGTGAATGCGATTCTTTAGATCCGCCTGGTACTTCAAGGCATCATTCAGAGCCACCAAATCGGCGATGATCTGATCGATGTTGTTCAACGTGGGATGCTGTTTAAGGATCTCATCCAGCTTGGCGCGATTCTCTTGCAGAGCCTGACCGAAGTTGTGTTCCAGAGCATGGAACTTATCTTTGCGAACGGTCATCTGCTGGATTTGCTGCTGCTGGTTCTGCGATCGCAGCTTCAAGTTCTCCAACTTGTTCTCGACATCGTTAACGATTTGAGTGGCAATCAGTGGTCGACGGGACAAAGCATCTCTCAATTGAATGGCTGGGTTTTCATCGATCTCCTTGGCCTGACCCTTCCAGTAGCCAATGCCCTGACCCAAGTTATCGATCTCATCGATTACCTTAGTCAGTTCCTCGGCAGCGGGTCCTTCTGGTTTGTCTAGCTGGTGTTTAAGATAGTTCAAATGCGACTCCGTATCGTTCTTCCAGCCCAGCAGTTCAGTCCACTTCTCCAGAGCGGCCTTCTTCTGCAGCATGTTGGTCTCCAGGTTCTGATAGTTAACCACCAAAGCGGTGTAGGCATCATTCAGGGCATTCGACTCCTCGGGAGTGGCTCCCAAGGCCAATTGCTTCACTTCATCGTAGATGGCATTGAAGCTTGGCTTCTTGTCGGCATGTTCCTGAAGCAAGGCGTGGATAACATGGAGACTTGTCTCCACACGCTCCGGATTGATCTCCTCCACTTGGGTGACCTGGTTGCGCAGTTGCTCCATCCAGTTCGAGAAGTTAACCAGCTTGGCATTGAAGTCCTGCCGCGAAATGATGGCATCGGAAACCTCGTTGATGTTGCCGCGCGTGGCCTCTGATAGCTTCTGCAGCTTGCCCTTCATCTGGTTGACGCGATCCTTCAGAGCAGCGGCACCTTCTGGTGCCAAGTGCAGGCTAATTTGATCGGCATTCTGACCCAGAGTGACGAGCTTGGCCTGCTGCTGCGAGATCTCGTTGTTGAAGGACTTTAGCTTGACCAGCTCCTTTTCGAGCTTGTCAATGTGCGGGGTGTTCAAGACAGCCGGTCGCTTGGACATCAGCTGCTCGCCCTGGCCAACCCAATCCTCGAGCTTGGCGGCATCGGCGTCGAATGACTTCCAATTGGCCACCAACTTCTCGAGCTTGGCGCTCGCCTGCTTTGCATTCTCATGGACGGCAGTCCAGCGGGAGTGCATGGCATCCAATTCGTCGGGGGCATTGGTCTTACATAACATTTTATGACTGATGTTTGATATGCCATGGAGCTTGTCCAATTGCTCCTGGCACTGTGTCTCGAATTGTTGGGCATTCTGTTGCATGGCAACGGCTTCTTCGAGGGAGATGGGCTTAGAAACTACATTATTTACCTTGACTTCGCTCTGCTCCACGGCTGGCTTGATCTGCTGCAGACCGGCCTGGAACTGCTGCCAGTTGACCAGATCTTCCTGCACGGCCTGTGCCTGGTGGTCCACGTTGCGATTGATGGCGCTGAGCACCTCCTGCAGCTTGGTGATCTCGCCCTTCAGTCGCTTGGCCTCGGCAATGTTGCCCTCCTTGGGAGCCAACTCGGAGGCGTCGGCGGCCAAGAGGTCCAGCTGCTTCATGCGATCCCCGAGGATGCGCTTGAAGGCCTGCACCTTGACCACCCGCTCCTCCGGCGTCAGATCCTCGGACTGGAGGGCTTCGATGTTCTTAGGCGCCACCTTGTTGGCCCACTCCTGCAGTTCGGCGAGGCGGGTCTTGTAGTTGTTCCACTTGGCACTGTAGTCCTCTAGGTAGCCGACGCGATCCTTCACGTGCTCCATGGTGTTGAAGAACATCTTCTCCACCTCGGTCACCTCCTTCTCCAGAATGGGGCGCTTGTCGGCCGCCGCCAGAGGAGCGAGTTCCGATTTGAGGGCATGCAACTTGGGCAGCAGTTGGTGGGAAGCCTGCTGCAGTTGCACATTGAGATCCCTCTTCGACTTCAGATCCTGGCTGACGTTCTTGGGATCGGTTTGCAGGGGCGTCAGGGAACGGAGCTCCGTCTCCGCCGTTTGCAGCATGGAGAAGATGTCGTTCTTCTGGTCCACGAACTCGCTCCAAACAGCCTGGGTGCCCTTCAAGGCCTGCAGTTTGTCCGAGGTTTCGGTGTAGGCCTGATTCCATCCCGTCTCCAGATTCTTGACCTCAGCGTTCACAAAGGCTGGGGCATGGACATCCTTGACAAGATCACGTCCTCTCTGCAGCATGGACATGATGTGCGGACGCTGGTGATCCAGCTGATTGATGGCGTACTGCTGCTCTTCAATCAGGCGATTGACACGTTCCAGGCTGTCGGGAGCTGGGATATTGGCCGTCTGATCCTTGACCTTGCTCAGCAGACACACAACCTCGTGGACTTCGCGTCGGTAGGTGTAGCACTTGGAGAACACCTCCGTCTTGACCATCGTAATCTCAATTGTGGGTATCAGGTTCTTGTAGCGAGCAATCAGGTCCTCCAGCTTCTTCTGTTCCAGATTCGCCTCATCTTCGGTGGCGTAACTGAGCAGAGAGTCCAAGGTCTTGACCAGCCACTTCATATCCTCGCGTTTGTTGTCAGCATCTTGGCAGATTTTCTATTGTAAAAAATAATAATGAATTAGTTTTGGGTTACAAGGAACTGTGCTGCCAGTAAACTTATTTCACACAGAAGTAATATCTGTCTTAAGGAAGTTTACAACACAGTGAAGAGTGATTATAGATTCTATATAATATCAGATTAGTTACCACTAGCTCCCTCAGCTTTTTGCATGCATGATGGGTAATGAGAAGATTATTTAGGGATGAATGAAATGGAAAGCTTAATTAAATATAATTTATGCAGCTCACCTGGAAGACAACTTTCTCCTTTTCGAATTCCTCCATGGTGTTCACTTCATTGACAATGTTCTTCAGACTCTGATCCACGCCGTTCATCCAGTTGACCATGTCGTTGAATTTCAGGTGATAACCCTGCCATTGGGCCGGGATTTGCTGGAGGGTCTGGCGCATGTCGCCCAGTTTGTTGGACAACAGTTGCCACTGGGATTTGGCATTGTCGTAGGCCTGATCAAGACTGATGTCACCGGGTTGCTGCTGCCTGTGGGCCTGAGCCAAGCGTTGCATGTTCTGAAGGCAACGCTCCAGGCGAGGAACGGCGTCCTGTTGCAAGAGGAACTGCTGGTTGCGCTGCAGAATGGAGTCCACGTCCTCGTTGCGATTGAGAGCCTGCTGCTCCAGCTGCAACTCCTTCTCGACATCTTTCAGGGACTGATAGAAGGCATTCTCGTCCAGTCGGAACTCCAGTTTCAGCAGGTGCAACGGAGCCTGAGACAAGACATTCTTCCAGCGGGATTGCAACTGCTCCACGCTGTGGACCACCGCAGGTTGCTCCTGGGCGGGCAGAGTGGTCAGGAGTTGCTGAGCCGACTGCACCAGATCGTTCATCCAGCGATCGTTGACCTGCTCGAAGAAGTACTTCTGCGTCTCAGTGGTGGTCTTCGACTCGATGTGCTTCTCCACCAGCATGGACTCCGCCTGGGTGAGCCATTCGCTGACCACTCGTTCGTTGTCCTTGAAGTTGCTCCATCCGCCGGCGGCGGAGTCCAAGCGCTGCTCCCACTGCTGGGCATTCTGGATCACATAGTTGAAGCGATCGTTCAGCTGCTGCATTTGCTGCGATGCCGGAGCGGTGTCGATCTTGTCATCAGCGGACACCGCCTTTAGAAGGTTCTGGAACACCTTGTTCTTGCTCTCCAGCATCGATCGATAGTAGACGGTGCGCGAGAAGTAGGTCTTGTGCTTCTGCAGTTGCTCGTTGATGGAGTCACGGCCGCCGGAGAGATTGTGGGTTCCCAGAAGCTGTTCGGCCTCGCTCAACCACTGATGGATCTCCTTTTGGCCAGCCTCCAGGGATTCCTGCTGGATCTGCAGTTGGTGGAACAGATGCAGCTTGGCAGGCAACTGGGCGCGAATGCGCACCAGTGATTCCTTCTCCTGCTTCAGGAGCTTCATCATCTTGTCCACTTCGTCACGCGAAAGATCCTGAATCAAGGATTGGAAATTCCTGCTGATTGTCTTGAACAACTCCTCATTGTCATCGATTTCACTGGCCAGTTTCTGCAACTGCTGGCCGTACTGCTTGATTTGCTCACTGTTGCCGAGGACTTGCCTCTGATCCAGAACGCTTTCAGCTCCGCGCAACCATCTGGAGAGCTGTTCAATGCCCGATTTGTACTCCTGGCGGGAACGGATGATGTCTCCAGCATGCATGTACTGCTTGGTGTTGGCAAACAGTCGCTCAAATCGCTCAGAGAGAGCTCCATGCCGCTGACGCAGCTGCTGGGCAATGGGCTCCTCGCAGGAGGCAATCAAATAATTTGCAGAATTGGCGAGGGCATCGAACTTGTCCTTCCACACCGGGATGTCCTGGAAGAAGTCCAGACGCTCGTCCTCGCTCTGGTTGATCTTCTGCTCGGCCAGCAGAAGCCACTCCTCGCAGGTGGGCGCCAATTGGTTCCAGCTACGCCAGCAGTTGACCACTTCCTCCAGGGAGTTCTGGCAGCACTTCAGCTCCATGGAAACGCGCTTCCAGCGCTCCTCGGTTTCGTACATAAAGCGATCGATCTCGTTGATCTCCTTGCGCGGAACATTTCCCTCGCGTTTGTACTCATCGACCACCTGTTGCATATCGACGAAGGCCTTCTGGAACTCCTGGAAGATCTTGTTGCGCGACACAAAGTTCTTGTACTGCTCCAGCTGCTGGGCCACCTTCTCCTCCTGCCCGTACTTGCCGGTCCAGCCGCGCATCTTGTTCTCCACAAGGTTCAGGAAGGCAATCAGACAGCACTTGTGCTCCAGGAACTTCAATCGAATCCTGCGCTCCGCTGCCTTGGGTCCAACCTCCTGAAGACGGCGCTCCATGTTGCGCAACTGCTCCAGGGGAATCTGCTGCGCCAACGGGGATCGCTTGGCATTATCGAACATGGCCAGAATGCGTGGCAGATCGGCGAAGAAGAGCTTGTGCTCCTCCAGCTTCCTGCTGATCACGGCGGCCGTCTCCTCATTCATTGCATTCGGTATATCATTGTCCATTAATAGTTTCTCCGCTTCGGCTAACCATTTGCCAACGGTGCCGAAGTCGCCGGGCAGCTCAGAGTCCAGCAGCCAGAGCCAGTACATCATCTGGTACTGGAGGCGCTGCCACAGCTCGTTGATCTCCTCCCAGGATTGGCGGGAGACCTGCAGGAAACCGCTCTGGCTCTCCACCAGCTGTTTCAAGCGGTTATACGCGGCCAAATGGGCATCGACTTCAGAACGTGCTAATAAATATTCACTGAAATCGCGTGGGAACGAGCTCATCATGACCATGGGCTCGTACTCGGTGGTCTTCTCCACCAGGAAGCGACGCAGTTCGTCGGCTTCCTGCTGCGCATGCGATTGATCGCGGGAAGCACCCTAAAAAAATGATTAATAAAGGTAATAGGTAAATAACATTTATTAATATTTTAGAACGTTCATAAGGGATTTCTTAGCTGTCTTGACTCACCTTTGGTTCGGGATACTTGTGCAAAAATTGCGCCACATATGTCATGATACTCTTCTCGTCCGGCTTGGGTACGTCCACATCCTCAGCGTCCAGGAGCTTGGCAATGCCCAACTTGCTTTCGGCCACATCGAAAGCAGTCTCCAGACGCTGACGGTTGCTGGTCTTCTTCAGCTCAGCCAAGTTGACCAGGTTCGCCTTGATGGCATCGATGAGAGCGAGGAAGGCGACGCCATCTCTCCAGCTGGCGCCGAAATCCTTCACCTCCACACCACTGTCTCTGTTGTTATACAATAAATAAATAAATTAGAAATCATAACTATATATAGTCTTACTTTAGATATACTCACTTTGGCAAGGCATTGGTCACCCAGTTGAGCAGGGTCTTCCTGGCACCCTGCTTCCACTTCTCAGCCTTAAGGTCGCCGTGCTTCTGGTTGCCAACACTATCGAGGGAACTAACCGAACCGCCAATACCATGACCCAAATACTCTAGGTTGCGGCTGTTCTCCTCGATCTATGAATAAATAAATGAATTAGCAAATATCCAATCATAATCCCGCATGCAATCGAATGTAATGGGTTAACTTAAGATATGGAAGTGCCTTAAAGGGTTTGGCTACCAACTAAAAACGATTTTCTACCCAAAAATAATATGAGGTACACACGACACAACAATTATTACTTTCGACTTGGACCCACCTGTGGCGCATAATTTATAACTACTACTATGTTTTTCCGCCTCTTTTTACGAAGCTTGTGTACGTTAAAGTTTATGATATATAGAAAAAGAAGGTTCATTGGGTTAATTACGATCAAAGTTTTTAGCATTTGTGGGGTTTGGACTTCGAGTGTACATCTCTACTGGTGGTAGCCTCGTGAGAAGGTGTACAACTAGCAACCAATTTTCGGCAGTGCGCTCAATTTGTGAAACTGGTGCACTCTGTGTTTATCATATAAGTTTAAATGTATGTTTAGGCTTACCTGGAAGTACAAGATGATCGTCCATATCAAGCCCAACACAACTGGTGGTCTCCCATCCACCAGATCTGCGGGATTAATATTGACCAACTTGATCCGTTTGCTGGCCAGAAACTGCAGGGCCGTGTTGGCATTGCTCAGGAAATGTGGACGTCGCAGGACGCGGCCCTTCTCCACGGGCAAACGTTCGCCGGACAGAACTTCGAGTAATGCAATTAGTTTCGTACCATCGCGTAAGTCATTGATTAAATCATCGATGCGAAGCGGTGGAACACGCTGTAACGGATAAGCAAATTAATTAATTAATGTTGTTTATAAGGGGGAGTGAGGAAAACCATGAAATTGGACATGTTATGGGTACTGGGTCACCATATGACCATATCACAATCCATCGGAAAGTGAAAAAAATCGAATATAAACAGGGGTAAAAAAAATGGATCATTTAAAAATGAAAAATTTAAAATGCATTTTCTTTAAGACTGTGATTACAAACATTTAGAGGTATGCCACTTTGGAATCTGACAAAAATTGGCAAAGTTATAAGCTGTGTACCTCGAGAATTAGGTCTCCTATTGGCAAAACATTAAAAAAAATTTACATTCTGTTACTCCACCCCGGGAGCTTAGAGCCTCTACAATTTCTTGTAGAGGATTCGTTATCAATGATTTTCGATCGTACCGGTGATAAGCCAGTAGCGACTTATCCTAGCGGTGGGGATGCCACCTGGCGCCATCTAGGAGTGACGAAAGTTTTATTGTTGGGTCCATAGTAACGTGGACGAGGGGGTGTGCGGGTCCGGGGAGCCGAAATTTGTTACTAATGTTAAGTGAGCGATAGAGCATAGAAGTGGTGGAGATTTGGAAAAGAGACCGTTTCTTTTTCTCGGGGAGCCTGGGGCTCGACTTGAACCCGGGCCTTCCGAACCGGAGGCCAGCGCTCTACCTGCTGGGCCACCGTCCCCCACGCAAAACATTAGAAAACTTGGAAAAATCCGACATGAACAGGGGTCGAAATTTCGACCACCTGGAAACGCAAAATTTTGCGTACTGGTATTAGCAGTTTAGGGAAATATTTTCCAATGCATCGAAAAATTATAAGACAAGAGCCGGGGTCAAAAAAACTTTAAATTACCTAAATGTATTAAAAGTACACAGTTAAACTCTAATCAAACTTTCCTCGCCATATAAATTTTTTTTTAATTAATTTTAACGACCTTTTTCTAAAAGAGGGCAAAGTTCCCAACAATTGGCTTCAAGTGGCTTATGGCTTTTCCCTTAATAGCACATTTATGACTATATTATGTGCAGTACGCGACTATGAAAGCGTTAAGCATTCACAGCTAAATAAATAAACAAAATTAATGGGGTGCAACGATGGATTAAATGGATTAACCACGGTCAATTTCGGATACTCATTAACGCTTTGCATAAGTTTGTTTTCGGTTTATCAATGCAATGCAGCTCACGGAATCATTCAAAATTAAGGCGCATTAAATCAATTAAAATAGTTTAAATTGATGTTGGCCAAAGCGATAAATTCGCGGCGATACTTCAGTGCGAGCCAAGACAAATTGGCAAGTGGCACGAGCAGGCATTTAACTTGAATCCACCGCAAAAGATTACAATTTTTAAGGTAATGCCATTAAGGCAGCGGCAAACGGAAGTGCCACCACAAACCCACAAACAAACAAACTAACAAACAAACAAACAAATGAAGAAAAAGCGAACGACAAAGCGGGGAAAATTCATTGTAATTGAGTGTAGCATTTAATTGAGCTTTCTTGTGGGTAAATAGTTTCTGCAAAACTTTGTTCAACTGTTGCCAACATGCAAAAGACAATGACAATGGCTGGCGAAAACTTTTACCAGCAAAAACTTGTCATTTTTGTGTGAATTCTCCTTCAGAACTGACATAGCGAAATCAATTTCAATGCTTCCGTTTCCTGTTCTCCTGGGTACGCCCTTTTTTTCCCATTTATTTCCGGAATTTATGGTGTCATAGTGTTTTATGAAAAAGTTCTTGTGTCTTTCCGCTGTTTATTTCGGGGCCGACATATGTCATTACAGCCGTTGCCTGGGCGTCTCTGGGGCACTTAATACCCCCCAAACATGACATCGAAAAAATGGGTCTTACTGGCTAATCGCAAACTGGTTACCTTGCCTTGATCAGACCGCTGAGTATTATAATTATCTTGAGTTAGGTTGATAAGTGGGTGGGTGAGTCCGGTGTTTAAGTGCCTAATGATGTTATTTCAAGTCTTACGGCTGGCGGAGCTTTAAATATTTAACTGGTTGAAGTTTTAATGCTTCAAAGAGATATTTTTTATAAAATGCTATGAAATAGTTTTGCATCCGTTTGGGATTTAAATAAAAAGCTTAGGTTTATGAGGCCTACAAACTCAGTCAGTTATAATTATAATCCGTCACCCAAAGTGATTCACTGTCTAGAGGATTGTAAATCTTTTCTTATCGTTTCACTTGTCGCCTGACCAACACAATTAGATGAGCACCTGACAAATGTGCTTACCCCCAGCATTCGTAACCCACTTTCGCGCGATGAAATCCTTTCTAATTTAATCACCTCTAATAGCCAGATCCTTTCACTTTGGTTTCTTTTCGGTGCCGGCGACATGGATTCCCATGCGGGAGTTTCAACAGAGGGCACGACTCGTGCCGGGGCGTTGCCATCAATTATGTCATAAAGAAACGAAAGCGAACGGGTGTGGAGAACTGGGTATCTGGGGGTCTGGGGCCAGTTACTCGCCACTCAAAAAACTGAACATCCAACCATCTAGCAGTGACAATGCGACCCACAACGCTGCTGGTTCAAGCGTACAAATTAATTCATAAATTTTAATCAAATTCTATGAAAAGCGAGCGTCCAGAGCGGGTTTTTGGGTCGTCAACGAAACCGAAAAACCAACCTTGTTCACCTTGAAATGAGCTTGAAATGAAACGTATACCGATTCAACATTTTTGGGCTGCCCCATCAAAATCAAACGTTTTTACATGCGAGTGTGTATCTGTTGGATACGACGTATCTGTTGGAATGGAATGGAAGATGCTTGCTAATTGCCAGCTCTAACGAAGCTCCAATAGGTAACAGCAAAAATTAAATAAATCACTTTTTATTAGCAATAGCAAGAGTGAGATTTTTTGCCATTTACTTTATTGCTCCGACGTGAAACGTGTCAACTCAATGGTTGTGCAATTACAAAGGCAGCGACAGCAATTTGCCATGTCATTATGCACATTAAGTGACTCATTTGCATATTGCATAACCCAATGATGTAGATGTTGCATCTCCGACTCCTTGGGCGACTGAAATATATATGACTTCAATCAGGGAAGCCGAGCCCACGCATTCTGCAAATCAATTCGGAGAGCCTTGCATGTCTGCTGCTCCTTTTTTGTATGCCATTCAGTCGCCGCAGCCTTATCGAGTCTCCAAGTCGAGGAACTGGTTTCCAGTGCCTGCCCAGATTGGATTGTATTCGAATAATTGCCGGCCGGCCGGCAACACTTTTTCACAAATGCATTTTATATATAGCAAGAGAGCAAATAACACTGGTATTGCTAAGTACAATTGTATAAAATTCAGAAAGTAAGTTACTTTGATTGCTAAAAAATATTTGTGCAATTTATTGTAAACCACCTAAATGGGAATTCTTCTAAAACTTAAAGTTCAGCATACATTTTTTTCCCCCACTTCGAATAACTACTAATTTTTTGACCACTGTTGTGTGGGCAGGGAAAAATTACCGGCTCATGTCTGCAGATTGCCGTTGGTATTAAAAGATAACACATTTGAGACACCAAACGAAACATGGCTCACTACTCAATCTGTTACTTACTCCAACTGGGGAGAGTCTGAAAAGCCTGAAAAGTCTGAAAAGACTGAAAACTGCATTAAATCACCTCCGTTCGGGCAAGAAAGTAAGTCAGTAGGCGTCGCGTGGGTTTCTTGCGGGTTAATGGCAATGCGATTGATGTTGCCAACCGATCCCCGGCTGAAACGGAACTATCTGAAAGATACGTTGGCCATTAATGCAACTCTCTTGTTTGTTGTTTGCTTTCAGGCAACTTCGGTTAGACAGCCAGCAGTCAACTTCTGGCTCTCTTTGGATTTCTTCCAACCATTTTCCTATCCATCTTATTTGCATTGTAAAAAGGCTAAAGTGGAGAAAGATGGAGAGCACCCAGACAAATGTGCTGAGGAATTTCTTGCATCGGTAGGAGCTGGGTGCGTGTACTTACAAGATATTCTTGGAAGCTATCCAGCAAGGCAGAGTGACTTGAATATGCTCAGACATGATAAATGTTTGAACAGAACCCGAAGGTACATATTAGCACACACATATGCTAATGGTGGCAGCTTTACAGATTTTCGCAAGTCTGCAAGAACTCATAAAAGATCAAATAGCCAGAAGGCAGAATAAATTTGGGAAAGAATTTCTTTGAAATTGCTTCTAGGAAAAATCGTCATTGTAATAGAAAATATAACATTTCTTTTATTTATATACATGTCGTGTAAAAATTGTTCATATCAGGAAATCTAATACAAAACAAATTAGTAACCTTGAAAGTATCTTTTTCAATGAATAGCTTTCAAATGCTTTTCACCCATTTACCTTTAAATTTCATGCATTTTATAGCTTGTATAACACACAATCAGCGATCAGATTTAGTTCGCTCGTTATTCCATCATAATTACTCGACAAATAAATGCTTATCACGCCTAATTTCCCATTTTGTATTCAGAGAGTCGGACGTGTCACGCCCCTTAACCCATTTTTCGGCGGGTTAGTTATGTTTGGCTTTTTGGCAGACACAAAAACCTCTCACGCTTGGTTTATCAAATGCAAATCTATATGCAAATTCCAATGCCACTTGGCGTAGACAAAATTCATTGGCACTCTCAAGACGAAAAGACAAATCGATTGAGACCTCTTGTGGAAAGACAAGATAGACTGACTACTCACCTTCAAAAGGTATGAATTAATCCAATTAGTGAATGTCTTCTTCTGCACACGTTCTTGCTCCTCTGAAAATGTAAAAAAAAAGAAGAAAAGGTAGGAATCAGTAAATGGGGAATACATTTCGTACATTGGCAATTAATTGTTGGACAAGTGTCGGCAGCCGAGACGACAAATACAAAAAAGGCGAAACGGAGACATGACGATACTACTAAAGATACCGAACCCAACCGATAAGATCCATTTCTTGGTATACACAAGATATATACCAGTTTTTGGTTTTCATTTCGGTTTTGCCAGCTCCTACAACTGGTGTTTGTTTTAATTGAATTATCAGTTAAGTTGGTGTATAAAACCGAATTAACACGATGAGATCATTTTCGCTTTTGCGATATTATCGCGAAAAGTTTATGGGACAATTTCCTCAACAAATATTTTTAAAAATGTGGTAGGTATCTTAAACTTTTATGACAAACATTTTTAATTTGCAACTGTTTGTTCTTTTACCATTATTATTTATAATTTTTGCATTCTAAGAATTTCTCTGATGAATCATTTAAACAACCATGTTTAATTCCAAAACCAGACCCATAAACAATCTCTGCAAAATATTTCCAATTTCGTTGACCCTTTGCATGCGTCAAAAGGTAGACCGCGAATTGTAAACACAAATTCGCAGATAGGCCAAACCAAATATTTACTCATTTCTCTCGTTTTTTGTGCGCCTTAATTACCTCAATTTAATTCTTTAGCCGACAAATTGAAATAATAAACAAAGCGTTAAAAACATCAATTTGTAAACAATTATCAAAATACACACAGAAGAGCGAAAAGAATCGCATAAGGCAGAGTCATTATGGAAAAGTGCAACCGAAATGTAAATGAAAATGGCAGCTAGCAGCTGTCTGGCGAAAATCCCATGAAAACCCCTCAGACAAAATCCAGCCCATTGGGAACAGAGCTCCAAGACTTGGCCCAGTGCGTGGTCTATTCGATTCGATTTTGCTGGCAGTTGGCCAAACGCATGCCAACAGTATGGAGCGAAAATAGATTTCCCGTAATAAATAAGAAATACTATTCTTTTGAAAATGGAAAATTTCTACAGTTAGACACGAAGAATGCTTGGAATAAGAATTATTACATAAAATATAATCGACACAGCCATGAAAGCGTCAAACGCACAGCCAATTATCAAGACAACTTCACAAAGTAAAAAAACACACACAAATTGTTGTAATTAATTTCAGATGATCCCCTCAAATTGTTTCTTGTGTTTTCAATTTCTCTCGAATTGAAATTTCATTCACTTATTGCTGGCTGAGTGACGCAATTTTTGAAATGTTGACAAAAGATTATTTAAATAGAAATTAGTTCAAGGTTGCGCAATTTGCAAAGCAACTGAAAGTCGTGTATATATATTAATCTTCTCAAATGAAATAATTTATTTTGCCAACATTCGGCAAGTGCAAAATCCAACGATTTATGCAACTAGGTGAACTTGAGCCAAGGCAAAATTTCAAATCAAACCAAATGGGCTTTTTAATGGTTTCCCACACACTTTAAAATGCTGTAATGGCTTCTAAGGAAAGATGTAGCAGGCCACATAAATTATTACAAATGTGGCATTTAAATCTTTCACAGCCAAAGAAATTTCCCAAAACATGTGATTACAATAAACATATTACCTAATATATATTTGTATTAAATACGGTTTATATAAACCTGTTATGGCTAACTGCTAACTGATTTCTTTAGAAGCTTCAAAATCGCTTTTACTGGTTTGCAATATATATATCTCTTGTTTTTATTCCAAAACAATTAAGTTGTTTTGGTCAAAAGCGTTAGACGCCTCTTCAAAAAACTCGTTTGTGGTGTACCCGATATTTTTGGCATCGAATGTTAAATGTTTTCCGTATATATTATCTTAACTACCGCATTTGGCACAGTGAATAAATTTTCTTTAGAAAACTAGTTGGCTGGGTTCGTACGTATTTTGGGTCTTGGCCTGACCAAAAATAAATGTTTATGTACATTTGTGTGTCTGACACTTGTTGATTAGTTATTTTGTTTCTATATTTTTTTTAATCAGCGAAAACATTTGCCAATTATTGAAAAGATACGTAAATGCACTTGAAGTTCAGGTATTTGATAAGAACTTATATAACGATGCGAGGAATGCGGGTCATGATAATAAAACATTGTGTAGAAAGATTGCGCGTTCGACAAACAAAAATCGTTTTAAGCAAATACACTTAACAAGATTTTCCGTTTATATAATTTGTATAATTATTTTACTCAAAAAAAGCTTAAAACCATTTCCACCACTTGGTTGTAATGTGTAATTAAAAGTTGTGTAATTAAACCTTTTCGTTCCAATTAAAGTTGAAGGCGAATATAATTGCTTAACTTTAAGTGCGTTGCCCGTTCAGTTAAAATGCGTAAAAAAAATAAAAACACAGCCTCTCACAAAAAAAGTTTAGACAAAATCAAACAACAACATCAAAAGTAAAAGCACACAAAATCACGTTTGATTTTTACACCGCATTATGCGTAAAACAATTAACAAGGGGCAAAAAAATCAGGCCAGGGTGTAGCGTTCAAGTTGAATGACTTTTCAGGTTTGTTCACTTCAATTTCCATTTCAATAATGATGTTTGAATTGATTACAAGATCCCCGAGGGAACCGATTATTGTGGATTCTTCCAAAACGAAAATAAAGAATCTTAAAAGCGGTAAATTGTTTTCTTCTCTTTTGGTTTCTTCGGTTGTCGGTTCTTTTTTACTTAAACTTATGAATGGTTCAGTCAGTCAGTGAGTTAATGATGGTGATTATAGTGATAAGTCGGCTGATTGTTATTTATGTGTATTTCGCTATTTCTACCATCTAATGAGTGCGTCTAAGGGTAAGAAGAAATAACAGAAAACTTGTAAATAAAATCTTAGAAAATAGTTTTACAGTTTTTTCTATGAAAGTTATTAGCTTTTCTCTCCCCTTTAATTATCAGCTAGTGAAAATTATAACAAAAAGTAAAGTACTCAAAAGAGCAGTACGATTTTTATATATTCTGCTTCAGTCGCCCGACTGTCTGAGTTGGCCTAGTTACAATATATAAATAGAATAGAAAAGAAGCCAAGACTTTTCAGTGAGAGAACAACAAAGAAGTGTTCGGTAAAAATGGTTTATTTACTTTCACGCACAGCTAATTGTTTTGGGTTTCCCTCCCAAAAAAAGCACAAAATACGATCAAATGTTCCTGGCCATTTGCATAAACAAAAGGCAATCGAATCGTTTAAGGGGAGTGTGTTTAAATGCACACGATTTATAGCATATGTTGGGCTTTTCAACGGAAATGCGTGGAATTAAAATTTCCAGTGGATTTCCGTAACACAAAAACTAATGTTTGTTTGCCTAATTATTTCGGTTACGTTACATTGCATAATGTAGAATAAAAAGAAAAAGAAATAAAAGGAAACATGTAATCCAAAGCATTCTAAACCTACTATAAATTTGACTAGCGCCATTATCTTTTCGGAAACGTCTTAGTTATCACAAATTTATGTTCACAACAACAAATTTTCAAACCAAATCATTATCTAAACTTCAACTGACTCAGACAACATTCCCAAGTTCAAACGACTTGATAAGCTATTCAAAAATCATAATAAAGCAAACCAAAATTATGACCTTCCCCTTAGGCAATCAACCAAGTGGTGATCACTCCGACAGCATAGGCTATATAATTATTGTATCAACTGTTTAAATTTCGCTAAATTTAAATTTCAACACAACAGCGAGGAGCAGTGAGGTGTGTCGAGTTGCACTTGTTGTTGTCACCTGCGGCGACAAGTGAGCACAGCAAATATGTCAGCAAAAGCCCGCATAAATTGCCCGAAGCCAACATGTTGAAGAGTCTTACAAATGGCATTACTTAACTTAACGCTCCATTGCCTTCGACAGGTTGCCCCTCCCACAACAACACCCCAACCCATTTGGTAGTTCGCAGCTACTCGAAAATATTAAACAGAGTCAAGTGGTGGGATTGCGTCATTATTAAGTATATGTACTTGGTATGTTTACCGAAAATCAAAGGGCGTTCGTATGTTTATTTATTTTTGTCATTAATACCGTTCAGCAAGCCAACAGATACCGATAGCCAAAACTCAAAACTAAATGATTGAGCACCTAAAACGTAAAGAAAATAAATAAGGCAACAAAAAACGCCTCGAAAAACAAAAAAGATAATTTGTATGCCACGAAAGTCGCAAAAGAAGCTCCAGAAGAGATCTTCAAAAGATCTTCTGCCCACCAGCAGAATTTAAAACTGAGGAGGAGGAAGCCACGAAATTAAAATTTGTGAATTGACTTTGCCACATGAGCAACATCTGGAGGGGAAGATATAGGAATGATCAGCTCCCACATCAAAAACTGGAAAGCAAATATACTTTGTAGGTTAAGAGCGAACTTTGATTCTGAGTGGCAGCTTGTGGGCACTTCAAGTTCGTCTTTATATGTAAACTTGATTCGCTTCTTAACTTACAAACCCCAGCTCGAATTTCAACGCGAGGCGCCAACTTCTCTGGACCGCATTTTAGGCATCAATTAAATGCCGCTAAACAACATGCCCTATAAATACTGAAGCTGACGGATACTTTCAGCAGCAACAACGACAACACCAGCAGAATCAATAAATAACTCGGCGATGATCTCAGTTGTACGGCTGCTGTCCGGATTGTTCAGTTTGTGTAAGATTACCTACAATGACGGACCGATCGGGCAGATCGCCTGAGATAACGCTAGCTGCCACTTTGTTTTGAAAACATTTTCATTTTCATTGAACCTTGCAATGAATATCTCCCATAAATCATATTCATAGTCAAATTTAACTTTGAATTGCGGCTTGATGAAGCTGAATGGCCGATTTACCGCAAGCCATATTATAAATATTCAAAGAGTTGCAGGTTTAGTTTTTTGCTTGTTTTTTTTTTGCTTAACTATTAAAATGGCATTAATGATAATTGCTGCGAAAGTGGCGACATATATTGAAACCAAGTCAAAAGCCAACAATCAATAGTTTGCTATACTATATACCAGTGCCTGTCATCAATTAGTGAACGCTTGATGAACTTTTGCTGGTTTATAAATTTATACAGCGCTGTCTCCATGTAGGAATACTCGTATATGATACGATAGATATACTTTATGTGTGCCGGATGCCTGCCAATATAGTAGTTATATGGCGCACATTTAGGCCAAATTTTGCTGCTTTGACAAACAAATTTATCGAAGCAGTCAAACAGTTTGCTGAAACACGCAACATCAAAATATTTGACAGCGAGCCGTTATGCTGACATTGACGATGATCCGAGAAGAGGAAAAATAATACTTTGGCTCACGCAAACTTGATTTATGCTCACTAATTGTCATATAAAGACATCTTGCGATTTACGATTTTTCTAGGATTTTTGGATACCCTATAACAAGTTTATGTTTTGAGTTTAACATTTGGAAAGTAAAAAAATCAATTAAATATCATAATTGCTGCACTTGACCTTTATACAAATAAAGTGTTTATCTTTCAATCTTTGTCAGCGTTTAGAACCTGTCTAACACTATCGCAACCTTTTAATCAACTATAAATAAAATAACCCACAAAACTGTCTAACCAATCCAAATGGCAAACATGAAAAATCAATTTGCCTAGAATATTCTGCGTGGTAATAGGACTACCCCGAATAACCACTAAATATTATAGATAATACACACAAAATGCTCGCATATTATTAATACCCCCAATCGAAAGTCAGGGCGTATCTATAGATACAAATATGAGTCTAAAAATATTTGCATATACCCTATGTAATATCGTCAAGTGCTGCCCAAAAATTGCGCTAGTCATTCGGAGGACAGACTGTTCGATCCGTTTAGATCAACATTCTGAGGAGGGAAAGACAGACAGCCTGCCAGACACTTAATTGGTTGTTGTGCTTAACATAATAACAGGCGAGGAGGTCACATAATAGACAACAATCCAACCTCCTTACAACCCCATCAACCTGTTCTAAGGGTAGTTCGAGTGCTTTTGGCTGCCAATAAATTTCCTTTTCGGCCGAAGGAAAGAGGTAACAAACTGCTTGCCAACAGTCGATGTGGCGAATACATAACAAACGCACTGTGCGCCAGTATACTATATAAATAATATAAATCGCCAGTTAAATATAAGTTCGGGGCGCGACCAACCGACCGACTGACTTATAACGACAGCAACAGTAAAAAGCCAGCTAAACAAGTTAAAGTTCGAGGCGCCGAATGATGTCATTTTGGAGGTTTTCTATCGATTGTTTTGTTTTTTTGTGTAATAATTAATTAAGCATACAAATGTCTCTCGCACTTGGTGTAACCACAAAGTACCGCCGACTGACCTTGGCTATCTTTAGAATCTTCTTCTAAATACCTTTGCCCATTAGAGAGGTGTAGTTTATTAAACGGAAAACGAGCGAGACAACTGAGCATTGCAATTTCCGTTATCTGGAGACCACAGGTGGGCCAGGGAACAAAGTTGCTTCAGATAAGATCTAGCTTAAAACAGGTTAAGTAGGGGGGCTACGTTTGAGAAATTACTAAAGATAAGGGTCTTAGCAAAACTCTTTAAAAATGACAAAACAAATACTTGAAATATATTAATAAAAATTTTATTCATTTGGAAAAATAATAACAAAAGCTCTTTAAGAACTGTAAAAACTGGAGCTTTAAACACAAATTTTTTTAACCTTTAACCTTTCACCCTTTATATGTTGTTCCCACTTTCTAACGTTTTTTTGTAGTATCCCATACATATTTCCACCAATTTTACCTCGTTTCTCCTTGATATGGCTGTCGTACTGGGAATTGCTGCGGGCGTAGTTGATGGACGCCATGGTGGACTGGAACTCCTGGTATTCCTGGTCGCTGGGTGATTCGTTGCTGCGGCCACTTTGCGTTGCCAGAGTCTGATAATCCTGACGCAGACTCTTGCTGAAAGTGCCGATGCCACTGAGGGCGTGGGCAGCTGACGTGGATCCGGTTACGGATACGGATGCGGATGCGGATGCGGATGGGGTTGCGGATGGGGTTAAGAACACGGATGCGGATGCGGATGCCGGTGTGGTGGGTCGCGTGGGCGTGGACACAATCACTATACTACTCGCCGGTCTGCCCTCCGTATCCGAATCGTTATCAATTTCAAATTCGTTGTCACCGGCGCTGAGTTTTCCCGTACTTATCTCCGAGATATTTCCGACTACCGACGACGAGGTTTCGATTAATTTGCGCGACGTGGAGGTGGACGAGGAAGTGGATGAAGTGGACTTGGTCGTTATCGTTTTGTGGCTTACAATTTTCCGGGGCTCTTCCGTCGAAGAACCGCGCAATTGGCACGTTGCAGCTGGACTAACAACTTGGGTTCTCGGACCCACCGCCTGCGCCTGCGACTGCGGTTGCTCCTTCGTGCCAATTGGCGTGGATGTTAGCATTGTCTTCGTAGTGCTGCCCAAAACCAGTTCCCTCGGTCTTTGGGGTGTCGACTCGCCTCCACCTCCGCCCATTTGGACGGTTGTTTGCTGGTACAAACGCCGGCGGGGGTTGCTACCGCCGACGGTAATGTCAATGTTGCCGGTTGCCATGGCCACTTCCTGCCGACCCAACGACGACGAGTCGATTTCGTCCCTTTGCCGGCCGTCCGCCTCGGTTAGTTCGCTCTCCTGCTCCAGCTTGATCAGTATCCTCCGTCCGCCGGCGGTCAGGTCCACGCTCCTCGGCGGCGTCACACTGGACCGCTCGCTGGAGTAGCTGGACCGCGACCAGGAGGGCGAATCCCTCGGAGAAACGTAGCCCTCGCCGTGGCGGTAGATCTTCTCCTCCGCGTAGCCACCGTCGCTGGTCATCGAGGAGGTGATGATGGTCCTTACGCCGTCCGCCGACGGCACCTCCCTCACCGTGCGCTCTCCGTCGAGGAAGCTCTCCAGTTCCCGGATCTCCTTCTTCTTGCTCCGCCGAGTGGTGCGAAGGGTCACGTTGAACGGCGCCAGGTGCTCCTCCACATTGCCCTGCTCGGCACCCGGACTCATGCGACTTGTGGTGCGTAGAGTTACATTGAAGGGACTCGCCACCTGGTCACTGGTGACCTCGACGCGACGGGGAGGAGTGGTGTGCCTCAGTTGGACCTGCTGGAAGGCCAGCTTGGCTGCCTCCGCCTCGGCCAATCCACGTTGCCTCTCCTGACGCAGTCTCCTCTCGATCTCATGGACATCTATCTCGAAGGGATTCTCGGCATCGTACTCATCCTGGTCGTCGCCCAGACGCAGTTCGTCGGAACTCTGGTCAGCGGGTCGCTTCCCTGGATTGGAGCCATCCGACCAGACCTTCTCGTACTGGGCCACCTTTTGCCGCAACCTTTGCTGATTGGGCGAAGGACTCGGCTCCTGCAGGACGAACTCCTCCACGTTGGAGCTGCTCGAGGTGGTCAGGGAGGTGGTGATGGTCTTCATGTACGTCCTCGTCACCGTCGACGTCTCCAGCTGTTGGCTCTCCCCGCCCCGAACCTCCTCCTCCTGCAAATGTTCTCTCGAGGATTTGTGCTCATGCGCACGACGGCGGCGAACAGCTGGAACTGGTGGCACGTCATCGCCTGCGCCTCCTGCTCCTGCTCCTGCCCCAGTTGCTCCTCCCCCGCCGGCATCTATGGATCCTGGTCCTCCACTATCAGCCATAATGGCATTGATTTCGCTAATAGACCCTCGTCAAGCCAAATTGTCATCGGTTACGACAGTTTTTCGCAGACTTGAGTTTGGTCCTTTTTTTTCCAGCCACTCCACTTCTCTTCTCTCCACCGGTTTTCCACCAAATGCAGAATTGATTTTTCTCACGCAACGCGCACACACACACACCCGTACACACACACCGTGAATTTTCACCAGGCCAAATGCCGAATTTTCCTTTGAACAACCCTTGAATGGCCTTCAGTCTTTCACGTAATTCAACTTTAATTTGCCTAAAAGCAAAAACACGCTTCTTCTTTTTATTATGTTTAACACTTGAAGCTTTCGGCTTTTTGGGGTTTTATTGGGGGGACTTAAACACAATGCCAGCCTGAGATTATCTCAGGCGGTTAGGTAAGAAAAATTCGTATTTTGTGCACACACTCTCGTAATTCTCACTGCCCCATAAAATAATGCGAGAATTGGGTTTTGGGCTTTGGGTTTTTGGTGTTTTTCTATACTTTTTTATTCCGTTTAGCCTGGTGGGCAGGCGGCTATATCACATTAATGCCCGGCGACTCAGTCGCTCCGCGATTCCAATCCGATGTCGTAGAAAGCCGGTTCGAAACTGAAACTCAAACTGAAACCGAACCCAACGACGTTCAATATGCTACGCCTTGTCCAGTCCAAAAAATAAAAAAATTGAGAGAGGAGCGGCAGCTCAGCGTATAGTAATCGTAGTAAAGCTCATGTTCCCAGAGTCTGTGCTCCCCACTGTAGAGGTATTTTTTAAAACCCGTGAGAGACTGCGAGAGCTTGGCTATAAAACCCAGAGAGGATAACCGAAAGAGAGCGGCCCCACGCAATATTTTGGAGAGTACCAGTTTTGATGGATGTTATGTTTACCACTCCGGCACGTACTCACTGAGTTTGAACCGACCGCTTGTTGTTATTTGGGGTCAGTGGCGCAGTAGCCGGCTTTTTTCAAAGGGGCGAGCGACTTTTTGGGGGAACAATCTTTAGTTCTGAGTAATGGAACAGGGTTTTACAGGGTTTTGGGTTGGGCAGAGGTACCCAATTACTTCGCAAGTTGAAACAATTTAATTGCGCACACAATATCACTACCTTAATGACCTTTCGGGTTATTCACTTTGAACCGAATCAAATGATTTATTGCCAAGCAAAGCCATTTTTTTCATAAGTGATCTGCTTTTGTAAAAAAAATAATATTTTTAACTCCCAAAAAAAATCTACGTCTTAAATTCTGCCATAAATATCACTTAGAGAATTTTTATGTTCACAACGACGCAAATAGCCGAACTTTATAGGGGGTAAAAAAACTTTATAGGGTGGTAAAAATTTAACTGATAAGAGTACGTTTGTTTAAATTTTCTCCCATTTCTCTCAGAGAAAAGCCAACTCTCACCATTTCTCGTAAGCTCTCTCGCAAAGATTACGGTTCTCTGCTCTTCTGCATGAATGGGTGGCATTCAAATGGCAAGTACCCAAGTACTTTGGCCTGTAATTGTAAGCCTTTTACCTTACACCTTTGCTGCGTGACATCATGGAGCGTGAGAAAATATCAATTACACAGCCCTTGGCTGGTGGTTGTTTATGCCCCTATGGATTATTATTATAAGCTACAACCCTGATGGATCGGTTACAAGCATTAAGGGGCACAACTAGTGTGACGGCCTAAAAAAATGGTGATTTTTGGGAATTTTTATAAAAAAAACTACTTGATCAATTCTTTTCAAATTTTCAGAATATATTTATACATGTTTTAAGAATGTATAGTGAAATTTTTAAAGAAAAAAGTTAAATATTTTTTAAGTTATAGTCGATCTCCAACGGCACTAAAAAAAAAGTGCCTTAACTGCTGCAGTGATTCCGGCCCTCTCCGTGGACGAAATCAAAAAATGAAAAATTCTCGTTAAACTAGATAAAATTTTCCATACCATGAACTACGATAAATAAAAAATATCAAAAAATGACAAAATGGCAGCGTTTTAAAAAAAAATCGAATTTTAACCAAAATTTTGGTCGTTTTTGGCCTGCCAAAATTCGATTTTTGATCGGATCAAAAAACCGATAGTTCATGGTACGTAGAACTATATAAAGAACATGTAAAAAAAATTTGGTAATGATCGGATCACTAGTTTTTGAGTTATCACTGCAGCAAATTTGGAAAATGCTGTTTCGAGAAAAACGCGTTTAAAGATAAAATGATCGTTTGCACTGTTATGAGAGCGGCTGCTCTTTAAATTGTTATAACTCAAAAACTATTTGAGATATCGATTTTAAATTTTAATATGTTATTTTTAAAGGTGTAATCTACCGAAATAGGAAAAAAAAATTTTGATTTTTTTAAAACTTCACACTAGTTGTGCCCCTTAAGTAAGCCTCCAATTGAGAGCCACGGCTGAAAAATATGGGTCAGCGCATGGCAAAGCTCAACTTACAGCGGCTCTTAATGAAAGCCATTCATAAATCGAAACCAAAACAAATGTTTAAACTTCGTGTATGAAGCTTACATAACCGCGAGAAAGAAATAAACAAGTTTGCCGTGTGTTTTTAAGCCAGACTAGACTAATGACGTCACGGTGTGGTGACTGCATTGCATCTGATATTGCTGAATGTTTATTGTCTCGCTGAGAAGTTGGCCCTGAAATATAAAGTTGCACTTCAAATGGCCTAATGCAATTAGCTTGCGACGCAATTCAATTTGTTATTCATAGGCGAATTTCAATCATAAACCAGTCAAAGGACGACTGATTCAAATGAATTCGAAAGTAATATACTTTGAATTCTGAGTTATTAACAACATAAAAATCATGTTAATATACGAGTATGCAATAACCCCTTTAGAATTCGATTTTAACTGGTTTAGTAATTCCCATTAAAATTTATTTTTATATTAGAGAATTTCTTGAGATTTATCTATGATTTATTCATACTTCAATGACCACAACTTAAGAACACACGAGACCACCCCTTGAAATATCATGTAAAACTTGGGTATTCGAGGAACATCTATAAACCGAAAGTAAACATTGGTGGCACCAACAGATGGCCCCCGAAAAGTGGCGACAGCCACTACAAAGTGGCGCCTTCTTGAGAGAATTCACATGTTCCATTGTATTTTATGGTATAATTTTGTTTACGAGCTTCTCTGGGTGTGAGCCACTGTGCGGGTTGTAAAATTTAAAGTGGCAGTCACTTAAAAACCTATGAGTAATTCGGCTGTAACTTTAATATGTGAAAACATGGATTCCCATTAAAACACAAGACTTATAATGAGAGGAAGTAAGATTAATTAGGGATGCTGTAAGTCTCTAGTTTAATCATTGTAAACAGAATCATATAATTTGTAGACATCAAATTGTAAAATAGAGTTTTAATTTTTCTAGAAAATTAATGAATCATGTTTCCTTTGGGCAGCTGTTAACCCAAATATATATACTCTTGATCCAGCTGTGCATATATGTATGTACATCAATGCCTTATTATAGAAAGTCTATATTTATAACCATCTCCAGCACCCAATTCGACTTTCGGGCAAACATTTTTTCGCATAAACATTGGTTTCCGCTCTCGAAAAGTTCGATTTTCAGCACTTTCAATGATATTCCTTTTGCCCAATATATATTTGATGTTTCCTCATTTATTTCACACCTAACCATAAAGTAGCTCACTTTAATGGCAAGGCAAACGAGCAGAGCTTCTTGGTCTTCAAATATTGACTTCAAGGCAGCACAATCGATTCTCTAAACAGAAAATCATCTAGTGGAATAAGCCAAATACATATTTTTTTCGCTTTCAGGCATTAGTCAGATCAAGAGGCCATTAAACAAATATAAATTCCTTTTTAAAATCAGCCAAGAAAGTTTATTTGCACAAAAATTAAGCTATGTAAACGATATAAACTATTAGCCATAAATATTTGAGTGCTCATACATATAAGAACCAACCAGACCTCGCAAAAGTCGAAAAGCAATTAAAAAACGCGAACTGGGCAACTGTCAACATTTTTGATTTGTTTGAATTGAGGCATTTGCATATGTCGAGATATCATCGTCCATGCCGATTTCTACGTGCGAAAAATGATAAAATTAGTTTCGAGAATCTCCTATTTATAGCAATTATACATCGACGTATAGAACCAGATATATGTAAGTTTCTCATATGTTTCCCATTTCATGGAGGCGCGTGGGCGTTCAGCAAAACGTTTATTGTAAAATATATATTTGCAAACACACTTTGATCAAAGCCTAACATGTGGAATTCTAAAATTCTTTTCCTTCAGATTTTATTGGCAGAAGATTTGTGGAATTATATAATGCCATTTTATTCAAGCTGTCAGGTAGATTAAGGTGATCACACTTAAAACATGACAGGGGATTACAGGTAGTATTTTAGTTTAAGTTTGCTAGTCAATGAAATCAATTTAAAATAACCTCAAAATACAGCCAGCTTTAGTTTATGATAATATGCAGTTGGCAAGCTTTATTAGAGGTAATTAATCATTTTGACTGTGGGAGATAACTCATTGCTGTCTATATATTTAAACATTTCTCAGTTCAAGTTAAATAAATATTGATCCATTTGTTTAGTTAGATCTGTACGTTTTACCCAAACATTTTCTGAATAAATAAATATGTTCCCTTCTAATTAAAACCGCAGTCCCATCGTTCTGTTCTTGTACATTTTTCTTGTATTATGAAAATATACAAATGGATCCATGTGTTGTAAAACCAAATCCCAGAAGCAAGAAGCCAAACGAAACAGCTGAAAATCCCAGAAAACTCTAAAAACTCTATTTTTAATCGAATTTCTCGGCGTGACAAGACAAGTTCGAGTAGAGCAATCCAAAAAAAATAGAATAACTGAAAAGAAAAACGCTGCTAAATTTGAAAATAAACCAGAAAGCAGGGCGAGAAAATCAACCGAAAATAGCACAGCCAGCCCAGCTCTCCCGTCCCTTGAGATACTTATTATTCTTATTTCATACCAAAGAAGCATCTAAAAATAAGGTAAACGTAAACTGAATCAGGCGACAAGATGCAGCCAAGTTGGTTTTTGGGGGAAACTTTCGGTCCTAACCAGACAATGGGAATTAAATCGGACAGAGCGAATGCAATTTATAAATAAAGGAATGAAGCCATTTCCACTGTGACATCAGCACCGGACACAAAAAGGCATTCACAGCACTGCGTTGTGCTGTGCTGTCTATAAACAACTTTTCCAAATAATCCCATAGTCAAGGCACAGACTACAGACTCGTTGCGCTTCATTATAAAAAGTGATCTCATTGCCTGTTCCACTCAACAGGCTAAGTGCGCCGAACAAAAGGCTCAAAAACCTCGCCTATCAACTTTATACAAAGTGTGATCGCACGCCATTCAATTAATTACATTTGACTTGTGCCAACGATTGTGGCTAAAAGGAAATCCGATTTTCCCATTGTCTTCAGTGTGTAAAAGTACATGATATATTTAAACAAAAGAAAACAGTTTAGTTGGTTAAAAAACTAATACAGCTTCTGCAAGAAAACAAAATTTATAACCCTAATTCATCAAATTGACTTGGCAAATATTTTGTAGACCCCACCCTCACAAGTGGCAAATATTAAGTAACACTTTATCTCATTCCCAGCAATTGCAAATTGTTAGAGAGTACAGAAATATATATAAGAAACCTATATGTGTGCATAACAATTCATCGATTCATTTGGCGTTCGATGTGTTTGGCCTCTATTGGCGATTGCAATTTGTGCGATTGCCAAAAAATTTATATTCCGCTTCCATTTTGGCGACAACATTATGTCATTACCTTTGGCCAAGCGCACCTAAGGTACCGAAATAGCCAAAATAATGGTCGAACCAAAGGCACTTAAAACCGAGGAAAGGTGAAAGATAGCCAAAGAATCTGGGCCATAGTCTACTTTCGAGCGATGATGTCAGAAGGCTTCTGCGGATACGGGTGATTCGAATGATTCTGCTGATTCGAATGATTCTGCTGATTCGGCTGATGGGGAAACTGGGGAACTGGGGGATCGTGGAAACGTGGGCCGATGCTGTCTGGGTCAAGTTCGGTTGACATTTACATTCGCTTTCCCCGAAAAAGACGCTCTGATTCAACAAAGTTCAATGCTTTGCCAAGAGAAAATCAAATAACTTACACGTTATTCGTGTGTTGAAGGGGCGTCCAACTGATAGTTGTCACCTTACCCAAAAAAATTCTAGAATGCTGCTGACTCAGCTGCACTGAGAAAACCAATGCAAAGAACTTATTTAGTTTAAGAGGTTGAAGTAGTAAAAAACCCTTTTAACGATTCCAACGTATGACAAAAATGCAGTAGGAAATTGGAAAGGATTCTTGGGTGATTCCAATTTTCAGTTACAAGTATTATTATATTAAAATATATATAAATATTATTATATTTTTATAGAGTTTAATTTTTTTGGGAAACTCACCTTGCAACTGCAATATCGTCATCTGATATTCGGCAAGCTTCTCGTCGATGTAGTCCTGCGATTGGTTCGCAATGATCTCGGCTGTCGACGGACCGAACTCCTCTTCGTCATCGTAAATCACGTAGGATTTAGGTTGCGGAGGCTCCAGTGGCACGCCCACGAAATCGATCTGATCCTGGGCCGCCAGTCCGTGTCCTCCGTGTTGTCTCGGTTGTGGCGGGATAACCGGTGCTCCCTGCTGTTGGTAGAACTGCGGTGGTTGGTACTGCTGCTGCTGCTGGTGGAGCGACAGTGGCGTCTGTCGGTTGCTGTAGTTGAAGTCCGAACTCGGAGTTTGGCAGACGATGGGCGACGGAGTCGGCGACAGCTGGAACGAGCTGGTCGGCTGGTGGGCTCCGTAGGAGTTCTGGTGCTGCAGGGGCGCCGGTCGGAAGGGGCGTGGTGCCGGCGATGATGAAACCCCGCCGTAGTAGCCACTCGGTGGTGGCGGTGCCGCCTGTTGTTGGTACGGCGCCGGCGATTGGTTGCCACCTGGCCACTGGGGCCGCGGATGGGGTATATTAGTGCTCCCGCGCTGACCCCTCACCTGGTTGAGTGGCGCCGGCGACATGGCATGGCCATAGGGACGGGGACCCGAGATGATCGGCGGCGGACTGGGCGCCGTCGTCCACGGCGAGGGTGGACGGTACAGGAAGGACGAAGGGGACGGAGAGGCGGGGTTGTGGGCACGTGGATTCCAGCCACGTGGTCCATTCCCGTACGGCGGCGGTTGCTGCCCGGACATCTTCGCGGCAGACGGCGGTTCAGACGATCTCGAGATCTTTGGGTTTGGTTCTATTTCGATTCTCACGATTCGGGGTGGCTATTGTTTCACAAAGACTTTTTGGACGGGGCTATGGGTTTAATTTAACATATTACACTGGCGAGAGAACGATTAAGAATATATTAACACTTTATTTATGCAATCTTCTATAGTTCAAATGCTTTAGTTTTTTTTCTTTTTGGAAAATAATAAAATAAGCACGGTTTGTAACTAAAAACCATGATATTTCAAATATATATTATGTAGGCATTTTAACGAAGAATTTGTTGGCACATTTTTCTTAACCCATAAAATCTGTACAAAATCATAAATCATCATTTGTTCATTAGCCAAAACAATCACCTGAACATCCAACCCAATTATGTCAAGTGGACCAGCAATAGAAATAGCGTAAAAAATACGCAAAAGAAACATAAATAAATCATGACCTATTCTCGAAAATGGGTAGCCGACTAATTTCAGCAGACTACGCACATATCCGCATATAGGAAAGATATAGATTCTAACGGAAGTGGTCTAAACATTTATACAATCTTTAAAAATGGCTCTGACGTGAGTGTGCGGCTTTCAAATCTCCAAAGAGCATTTTGCTCGCTTGTTTCAGTTAGTTGTCGCATATATAATGTTAGTGAAAATATATATGCTCCTGGCAGATAATTTACAATGCATGAACATTAAAATTATGCTACAAATTGGAAGAGGCAGCCAGGAGAGTAGTGGGCACTCGGATTAGCCGCTGTCAAAATTGTTTGAAGGCCTCAAAAGTGGATGATATATGTTTGGCAGAGTGTGTGCGGCAACCTTGGAAACGTCTCAAGTCATTGGGTATCCAATATGAAGGAAAGTGAAATTAGCTGAATTTCAAATACATAATATACAGAGCAGAAAATTGAAAATAATTGTTTTCCCAAGTGAATTGTATAGAACTAAAATAAACAGAAATTGAAATGGAAAGGAAAAAAAATTTGTTTTTCATGAAAATTGTTTTAGATCCAAAATAATTTAAGACCCTGTTCAAAGTACATATTAAAATTCTGTAAAAGTTGATTGCCAAAAATTTTCTGGCTTGCAAATAAAATTTTTAAGCTCTAACTGTATTTATACAGTTGTTGTTCATATCCTGTTATCACTGTTTCCTTAAAATATTTCCAGAATTTTGCACAGTTTTTCGTCCAAAAATTCTTTGTCATCTGCTTCCAATATTTCAATTCCTTTATGGATTTTCCAAAAAAAACCAAAAACTGCACAGTGTAGGCGGGTGGGTGTAGTGGTGTGGTGGATCGGCCCACCATCGGCACCACTTAAAAGCACACGTCCCGCAACGCACCACCGCGACGAGGAAAACTCATGCAGACTTTTCACTTTGCGGCGGCGGTCGTCGGTTGCTTTCGAATTATTCAAAAATAGAAATGAACTCAGTTCGTTAAACTTTCGGTTCGCTCGGAGGAAGAAAAACCATGCCGAGAACAGAGCAAAAAGATGCAGCCTCGCATGCTTCACTTTATTCTGGGACCACTTTATAATTGCCATCGGCTTTATGGGAGACCCTTATTTTATATCCGTTCCATCGATTATGGTTCACCATCTTCCATTTCATTTCGAACATTTTACTCGCACCGGAAAACGTGGAAAAACACGTTTTTCCAAAAAGCACTTCACTGTCGATTATGTAATACGTGGAAAATTGAGCATTTATCTGGGCTTTTTCAATCGGAATCTTGGTACACAAGGCACGCCAATTAATTTGTAACATTACACACCGTAAATTCGCTTTGATTTAACGCCAGAATTCTTTGCGCGAACAATTCCAATTCAATTTCTATATATGCGTATATATAGAGGCGTGTATATATGCATGGATGGCAGGAAAGAAGACTTTTCAATGAAGAACTTTAGATGTTGTAGAGGAAGAACCGAGAACAACACTCGACGAGCACGAAACACTAACTGAATTGGCTCCCCAAGCGCCAGGAGGCATATCGCCGATCTTTGGGGAATTTTTCGAAAATTTTCGAAACGCATCGAAAGAGATGGTTCGGAAATGGCACACGAAGTTTTTGGCTCTCAGTTTTCCGTGCCGGCTTTTCTTTTTGTGTCCATGCTCTTTCTTCGGCCTTTGTTTACATCCCTTCTTTCTAAACAAAATTAAATTGAGAGGAAAATGCGATTAAGTGGCACAGAAAACTTTCGAGTATTGTAAACAAATATGTTTATACATACGTAAAAGAAGACAACACAAAAAAATTTCAATGAGCGATGATAGTAAGAATTATTTTTAAACCTTATTAAATAAATTTACGTGGTTATATTAATATTGTTATCGTAATTAAAAATTACGTAAGCTAAAATAAAATGTACATTTCAACATTGAACATTTCCAGTCACTCTAGGAAATTTTATAAAAGATACATTTTAAGAAAATTTAATTACATACTTTTTTTACATGATCTGGTGTATATCATGCATGTTATCTCTAATATTATAAAAATGTCACTTAATTTTCCAGGGCTGGCAAATTGCTAAATTCAAATATTTAGTATGACCGCTAAACTCAAAATGTTAATTGACATTTGAGCTGTTAAGTTTCTGTTAGGCCAGCTGACAGCCACAGGGTGATTCCTGTCACCATACATTGTACGAACAAAATTGTGGTAAAAAATGGCAAGCAAGCAACTTGTAAACAATTTGGCCAAAATCGGCCGCTCCAGCCAAAATTGGATGTCACCATTGGCCACAGTCCGCAATTCCAGCTGCCGCAGTGACATCGAGAAGGTCACGCACACCGGCCAGGTATGGAAAATCGCTATGTTTTGAAAGCAGCCATCCTGCGATTACGCAAACATTCTGGGAATGTGTATATAAATATCTAAGATTTTATGGATTTTAGGTGTTCGATAAAGATGACTACCGTAATGTCCGTTTCGTGAATGCCAAGCGGTATGTGAACGAGAACTGGGGTATCAAGTTGATCGAAGAGGTCCCGCCCAAGGAATGCACCGAACGAGTGGTATACTGCGATGGTGGCGATGGTCCTTTGGGTCATCCCAAGGTCTACATCAACCTGGTGAGTTATCTAGCTTGCTATACATATAAACTACGTATTGATTTATAATTTCCCCCAGGACAAACCCGGCAATCACATCTGCGGTTACTGCGGCCTGCGCTTCGTCAAGAAGGATGATCACCATCATTAAACAAATGGCTAATAGCTAATAGCTTCCTGTTGCTCTAGTTTAAACCCAACTAAACTGAATAAATCTATAATAGAAAATGGATATGACTCGGAAAACATTTAAGTGTACGGATTTAATTGATTTTGTTACCACCAGACCTTTCAAGAAAAGAAAACCAAGTCAAACATTTATTGCACAACACTTTATTTGCAAGTTTCTTGAATGATAACTAATGCGTGTATGCATTGTGTCCTCTTTGAAAGTTAGATCTGATAAAAACTAACTTAAGCGATAAAGATTAGTAAAACTAATAAACAAAAAACCGAACTGTAGTTGAAAATACTGTGAGTTGAACTCGACTGCTCGGGCAGAGAAAAGATCAATTCACCACGCAGGTGTTGTAAGTGTATAAATGTAGAGTATAACTAACAAAATTAACGCAATCGTAGATAGCATATATAAAGTTGATTTGTTTGCCTGGTAAGCGGTGTAATGTATTGTATAGTGGTTCCATTATTTTTGTTGTTTCGCTGATAAATCACTACGGGCACTTTAGATGCTGACGATCGCAGCATTGAGACACAGATAGTACCACGAAGAATCAATACAATAATACAATAACTGCCGCCGTTTCGGCGATCGTTGGTTGGTTTTGTTTTGTTTTGGATGCCAACGCTGTACTGGATTGAAACGGACTCTGAAATCCAACCAATCCGTCCTCTGGCCAGCTCCTGATGCTCTCAAAACTGAAAATCTCACGTTCGCATTGCTCAACACGAGCCATCTCCGGATTCCAACTCCGTCTCCAACCGTTGGGAGTTCGAGTTTGGCCTGCAGAGAGCCCTGGATCTGGGAACTGAAAGTGCGGCGCCGCCGGGTGGTGCGCCTGCCTCACATAATTGATATGCCCAGCTCTGATCGCTGGTCAATAAAATCATGGTCAATAATCGTCGTCGTCATCTGTTGTCTCAAGTGCGTTTCATCTAAAACACCAAACACTAAGGAGAATGTAAACTAAAATGTAGTAGGTTCTAATTTGGATGTTGTGTGGATGCGGGACTATGTTGCCGACGAATCGCTTTAGCTTATCCCCGTACTGTTGCTGTTGTTTCTGTTGTTGTTGCTGCAGCAGAGATCGCTTATCTTGATTGGGGCAATAGTTGTTCACCACTGGTCACCAGAGGTTCCGTGGCATGGCGTAGCCTTCTTTTGTCACGAATATGTTGCGCTCGCCATTAGCCACCAACGAATCCTTCGGCTTTCCGGCCCCGATTCCGGGTGATGCCTCCCCGCCGTCGTGGCTTACAATGGTCTCCTTACGGCCATCTACCATCCGGGTTACGGTGGTGGTCTTGTGACCCGAGGAGTCCTGAGTCACCTTGGTGGTCTCATAGCTGCCATCCGGCTTGCGCACCGTCTTGGTCATCACGCTCTGGCTGAACAGCTTCGGACCCTGTCAAATATTATCATTATTTAAAGGTTTTTATATGGCAAACCCCTCACTTTATCCTCACCTGATAGTTACCATCGAAAACCCCACCGAATGGAGTCATTCCACTGCGCGGCAACATCGGAGTCATGGGCGTCATGATGTCCGGCTTGTTATTCATGGGCGGACGTGGCGGACGAGCACACGACTTGCTCTCCCCGTCGGCGGAAATCGTTCCATGGATCCTGCCCATGATGATCTCCTCATCCGAGAGCTTGGCCCGTTGGCACCCCTTGCGGAAACCGTGCTGATTCGAGGGCAAAATATTGCCTAGTTCCTGGTCGCCTGGCTCAGCCTTCTCCTCCGGATTCAAACGCTGGATGAGCGAGTGCAACTGATCAGCATAGATCCTGGAATAAATAAATGGTTAAGTTTGCTTTGCATTAAGCATTATTGAAGTGCAACTTACTCGCCATCCAAGTCGGTATCCAGGGATAGGTCCTTTTGCTGGGCAAACTTCTTCAAGATCTTGCTCTCGAATCCCGGCTTCAAAAAGTCCCCCTTCAAGTCCCGCTCAAAGCCATCTAAAAAATGTATGATATAGAATTAGTGCAAAGGTAATAAACTTAGAGGACAAGTGTCCATACTAAAATACCGTATGGCCTGTGCAATTACCTATAGATTTTATGTCTCTTGGCAATTGACATTTAATTTGACCAATTACATGTTTTGATGGCGATTGCCTGCTGTTTTATATATATGTATTTGTTTTATACATATTTGTTTGATATAAATCAAATGACATAAATATTTTTTTAATATTTTTGCTTTAATTTCAAATACACATATTTTTAAGATTTGAGAAGGCAGGTAATGGCACATTTTGGACCTACAACAATCGCGCTTACCTTCACTTTCGTTCAGGGACTCCAGGAGCCTTTGAAGTTGGCTCTCAAAGTGCTTCTGCATCTCCAGCGGACTGGTGAAGACCTGGAAGGCGAACTTGCGATCATCGTCGAAGAGTTCGTCATCCGTTTCGGCCTCCTCGAACCACTGGGGCTTGCGGAACTCATCCTTATTGGAAGCGGATACCGAAGAGCTGAATAAGAGAAAGTGGAAAATGGCTGGGATGAGAAGGATGTGGAAGTGGATTTCCAACCCTCGGGGCTCTCCAATACGCAGCCTCCGTTTTTCAGGGAGCGAGAGAAAACGGGCGCTTTTCCGTGTGAGTGTGTGTATCCTGGTAAAAATGTATCTATCATGGCAGGTGCCTGGTTATCGATCCATTGTCGCCTGAAAAAAGCCGCCGTATTCCTGGTTTGCCCCATTAATATTTTTAGATTCTGCACTCAGGCGTCCCCCATCTTGCATAATATTCCATCTATAGTCCCGCAGTTCCCACCACCTAGTTCTACTCACTCCTGCTCCTTCTCCGCCTCGGTTTTGAACATTTTCTTCAGAATATCCATATTACTGGTAATCGCCGCTGCTGATTTGCCGATTAATTAACCGAGAAATGCCTGACACAAGCGCAAAGCAAAGTGATTTAAGGAAAACTAAAAGAACCAAAACGACGCGAGATTTAATTGTTTACTGGCTTCCTTTTTTCCGCACACTTATTTATTGTTTATCAATAGGGGATTTTTTGCATGAATTTTCCACACGACCGTCGAAAAAGTGACAACAGCTGACAGCTGGCAATGCGAAGGGGTGAATGCGTGACACGAGATCCAAACAGCTGATGTTAAAAGGTCCAATGTTAGCACCAGCGATGTTTCTTTTCTTAACAGCACGCCACTCTGTTTGGATTCAAAAAGGCCGTTACAATAGGTTGTGTTTTAACATTAAATTTTTAGCTTCTGAAATTTGAAAAGAATTTGAGTGAATTATCAAAGAGGTTTTATAAATATCCGTCCGTCCGTCTTTCTGTCAATCTATCCGTCCATCCGGTTATCTTACAGTCGAGGCATTCGTTCTTTTTGTTTTGTAGCTTTGCTTTATAAAAAAAACAAATTTCAAATCATAATACCAAAGCATATAAAATATTTATAGACTCTTATACGTTTATTTTTGGAAATAAAATGGCATATGGTATATTTATAGCTTTTTTCTGCGCCTATTTCTCTGTTTCGGAACTGACTTCGAATTCCGCTTAAGATCATGCACTTTTTGGCAAACCATTTCCTGGTCTAAGTTTGGCTCGGCAATCTTATCTAAATTTCAGCTTATCAACCAGTTATTGCGGTGACTGCTTTGTTTTCGTTTTTCGGCCACGAATCGAAAGATAATTAAGATGGGGGCAAAGGAAAGATATGGCACGAACCACAGTAATAAAAACCAGACAACCAGTATGTTAATGCAAACAGATATTATCCAAGTTTATGGTGGGAAATGAGCCCATCCAATGAAATGTCAGTAGGCAGAAAACCACAAACCTTATCAGCGCTTAATCCAACCATTCGGCCCTTATCAGAATTGCAGTCCATATAACCATGACCGATAATAAACCGCCGCCACACGATAAACAAAAGGCTTTGTTATTATAAGTTTTTGTTTTTAATATTAAAAGTTTTAGCAGTTATATGGGTCAGGTGACCACGAAAAGCACTTGAATTAAGATTGTGTTTATTCACAAATGAATCTCATCGGTAGATTGAGGGATGCGATTGGGTTGTGGGTTGGTTTTCTGAGGACCATAACAATAATTTCGAACTTAACAAGAACCCCATGCCGGTGACCATCTCTGGGGGCTTTGTTTTTCGTCAACAAGGGATAACAAGGATCAACAAGGCTCCTGGACTAGCTCAGCGCAGCCCCTTCGAACTTGCAGACAACCGCGAACATGGCCTCACCGCCCAGGTACTTGGCTAGCCACCTGTTCTTGATCACGGCCAGCTTTAGGGTCTCGCAGCCGAAGCGGGCATTCAGATTTGTGTGCAGGGCACGTCCCATCCCCTCGATTACGAGCAGGTCAGTCTCATTGGCGGCGATGGCGTCGCACAGTTCCTGCGGCAGGGTGCGCATATCCAGGCAGGGACCCGTCTGTCCATTGGCGTAGACAAGAAGTTGTCCCTGCGACCAGGCTTGCTGTAGGACTTCGCATTCCCTTGAGCACTCGTCCAGCAAGGATTTCAGCTCCACACTGGTCACATCATTGAGAGCAGGTTCACTGTTCGCACAAAGTAGCACCTTGGTGCCTCTTTTCAAGAGTCCTCTCACAAAGGGCAGCACTCCCAGGACCACATCCACTCCACTGTTGTCCACGAAGACCACAGCACACTTGTGTGGCGTTCCCTTGAGGCGATTCAGCCAGTTGTCCAGGTTGTCCAGCAGCCACGGTCGCTTCTCGATGCGATCCAGGGCGGAGTGCAGGCCAAAATTGCTGTCCTGCTCGAGAATATTTGATATGGCCTGGGCACCCCAGTCGAACATGTTGCCGGCGAGGACTCCGCGCACCAGTTCCGTCCAACGGGCATCGTCATCTTTTAAGGCGTCTATTTCCTGGAGACGTTCTTTTAGCTTGGCCACCGCAGAGGCATTCTCCATTTTCTTTTGGCTGAGCCAGGGATCATCAAAACCGAAGCGCCGCAGCATGGTTTCGTTGAGTTGAAGTAGCTCGCTGGTGCCCAGGACAACTTTGCCTTTATTGAGGGGTACATTTCGCTGGTGCTCGTCAAGCTGTTGAAGATATGCGGCCTGGAACTGCTCCGCCCGCTGCGGGGCCGTGTGATCCTCCTCTTGTGACTTGGACGCCACTTTCGCGAACTTCGCGACCATGTCCCTGAAGCAGTTGAACCAGTAATCCGCCGCCTTCCCGTCAGTGTTCAGGTCCAGGGTGTCCGGCTGGTAGACCGCCGGATCCGGTAGCAAACTGCGGCTGTGCATGGCGACGCGGGAAGACGCGAGTCGAGTGACTCGTAGCGCAGAACTTGTCGTTTTTGTAATTAACAAAATATGTGGTACGATTGCAGGTGTGACGAGAAGCATTGCAAACGACGTTGCTCGCCAATCGATAGGCTTTAAGTGACAAAAACATTGAATGTCTTACTATCGTACTAAAAAATCTTTCGGACGATTTGTCTGTAAGCCCGCAATTTTAACAACGGATTAAAAAAAAAACTAGAGGACCAACTATTTCGGCATCTTAAAATTAATTTGTACTTTAAAAATATATAAGTTCCTTGTAATATGTTCTTATTGGATAAACTTATTTGCAATTGCTTTCCAGAATTCAAAGTTAAATTTACCCTATCGATAACATTCAAAAAAGTAAAACTGTTACTTTGCAATATTTTGTACCGCTGACACTGCCTTGTTTGAATGCTCCTTGGCTGGTCACTCTGAAAAAATCTATTTAAGCAACCCGCACGCTCTCTTCTTCGTAAATTTTTTTGCTACGAGGGTACGTCGCGTCGCGCATGAATTAAATATTAATCAAAAGAAAATTAAGAGTGCTTGTGCAGTGCAGTGTGAGTAGTTTGTTTAGTAATTTTCGGGTAAAAAATAAAATCAAACAAGTTAAAACCACCCACACCAAAGCAGATGCATACGTGTGCACTTGATACGCACACACACACACGCGTACGCAACAGAGAGTTGTAGTTGTAGTAGAAAGTGCAGCAGCAGGCGCGGTCTATAATATGTATATAAGTAATTCGGGCATACGGACGTGTAAATAAACCGGGTCGCCCACAATTTAGGGGCGGTACTGCGCCCTCCGCCGGAATCGAACTCGGAATCGCGGCAAACGTGTTCAATTTCCGAATCTCCCCTCGCCCACTCTGCCTATCTCTTTCACTCTCTCGGTGCGTGTGAGTGTGTGTGTTAGTTAGTGAGCGGCCTGCTAGTGTGTGTGCCTGTTTTTGTTGGTCACTTTAATTCGCCACATACACACACTCTCAAAAAAAAACTCGCGTTAATCCTGCAACGTTTTTGTTGTTTTCTCTTTACTTCCTTACATCCTGCAGCTTCCAGAGATTTTCCCTTTGGGTAAGCGATTTTCCAACGAGCATTTTCATCTGTTTCCCCCATGCACTTACTTATTGGGTTCTTGTATGCCAGTGCGTTCGTGAACTTGATTCTGATTGGAGGTCGAGCCAATTAAACCGGTTCGTGTAAATAAAATCTGCTGAAGATTCCTCTTCTCGTTTCCCTAGCTAAATGCAGTTTTCCTGGTTAATACCCCGTTGTAATAAGGGTATATTGCATTCGTACAAAAGTTTTCAACAGAAAAAAATCTATTTCCTATCAGCTTCGTAAGTCTAGTTTGATTTGGGAGCTTGAAAGTAATAGGACCCAAGGTTTTAACTTTTTGTAAGCTTTAAATTTATGGGGAAAGTTACTTTGGCTTTCTAAGGGATATTTTACAGTCGGGTCATCCAGTTTTTTTTTAACTTTTTTCCTGCCCCACCTCCGCTTTTCTCAGCATTGCAAATGCATTTCTTTTTATCAGCCGCACTGTGGAACCAAATGCATTAAGGCCGCAGTTTTCCAACTGCAATTAATGCCCTCAGCTAATGACAATGGGCCACGTACTTATCGGCCGCACTGTAATAATGATAGTGACCACCGGATCGCCGGAAAATTATGCTCATTTCGGTCGTGACTTTTGTTCGGGAGAGCCAATGGCAAGACAACACAAAGACGAAACACTGATTGTGGGAAAGATTTCGCGGAAACAGTACTGATTGCTTTAAAAGTTATTGGTTGTATTTTTGGGACGAGTTCTTCGAAGCTTACTCACTAGTCTTGTCTAGCAGATAAGACGTGTCGCATAAATAAAAGTGAGCATTGGATAAGCAAATTATATATGTAGGTAGTTAAAGTTTCAAGTTGGGGAAAAACAATTATTAGGGGAAACGGAAGTGAGGTCTGTAATTACTGATTAATTTGGATGAATTGTTTGGTCTAGCGATGCCTAATTGATTTCCTTATCTGCCAGGAAACTTAAAAACGCTGTGTAGATTATTAAAAACACTGATGGAGTGTTGTCTTAGACAACTCTTTCAATAACCTAGAAGCCTTTTAAGGCTTTTCGACAACCGTTCCGCTTGGGAAATAGCAAACCGCCTTGCACCCTGCTGATAAGCCACGCCCACCGCTTCGCCCACCTGCCCCCTAAATACTGTGGGGCAGCCTGACCTCGGCCTCTGCAGCAGTTGTTGTGTGCAAATGAAGCTATAAAACTGGCCCATGCCACCAATAAACGAAAACTTTTTTGCTGGCCACTTCTTAATGGCCTAGAGATCATCTCCCCGTGCTCTTGTTCACCACCTTCTCATCCGCTTGTTTAGTTGGGGCAATGTAGCACTGTTATCCACTTCGTTACCCCTTCCCCGAAACTTCATCCTCTATAAAATCGAGTCTCAGAGGAGAAAGCCATCAACGCTCCGTAAATTCCCTCGAGCAAACACCGAAACTACAACAACTACATTTTACCTACACACCTGCAACTACAGTTATGGCCAGCAGCGTATGAAGAAGAAGCACCAGCAGCAGCAAGTGCGATGCTGTACGAGAAAAGATTTCCCCGTAGTAAAGCGGGTTTTACTCTATCGTAATTGTCTAGGATGAAGCTAGGTTTTTTTATAGCACTGTCATGCGGTTTTTGTGTTGCGTTTTCATCAGGCAGCAAGAAGTGATAAAGTTGGCCACAGATGAGATGACAAAATGGTGTGGTCTTAAGCACAGTTTCCTGCCCATGATCGTTTTTGATGGAATGTCTCTGTCTCGAAGTTTTATTTATAGGTTGGTTATGTGGGTTAAAGAACAGTCTGCGTAGGAAAGTTGTTAATTGGAGCACTTTTTTTTTTGGGAAGGAAAATTTCGATTTACTTTTTCACTAAGCATTCAATCTCAGTTTGACCCAAAAAAAAAAATTTTTAGGAAATAAAAGTTGATGATTGGTTGATAAGCGTTTTGGATTAAATCAGTGTATGGAGTCTATTAGCTAATGCTCGGAATAATTTTTTCAGTGGTCACTTTCTCGACCAAAAAAAAGTTTTTGCAGAGCAAAAATGATGATATTGCCGTTGTCATCTTTTTATGGCTGGTCTGTTGCAGTTGCCTGCTGCCACTCATGGCAAAATGAAGACAACTCATCCCGGGTTTTAGCCCCTTGTGAAAAAACCAACCTCCCATATCAACCCTCTTTGGGTTTTTTGAGCTTGATTGAGTGTAGCAAGTGTGCATCGGGGGCAGTCAACATCAGATGCTGCACAGAAAAAAAACCAAGATCGTCTTGATAACACTATATTATTTAGCACATATTGTTTCTTGTGTCTTCAAGGAATGGGAAATAAATATTTATTGTGAATATTTTGAGAAAAAAAAGACTGATTAACAAATTATCTGAAAGAAATAGTATTATTTTTCTCTGTATTGTTCACTGGTGACAGTGGCCAAGTGGCTCAGCCGGCGGCGTCGCTTTTCACATTATTAAACGTTAATGAGTTTTTAAGACTTGTTTGCGCATGTGGGCGATACGATACGATGCGATGGTGAAGAAGATGGAGTGCTCGAGCTGGAGTTGCAGCCTTGAAATTGCAATTGGCCGCCATGGCCAAAAACAGTCAAAACGCTGGGGAAGGGAGCGAAACGGGTGAAAAACACAGCAGTTGCAAAACCAACAAGAGCGGAGCCAACTGGAGCTACAATTACAAGCATCATTGGCCTTATTTCTTTTGTTTTTCTTGCTCGTTTTTTTCCAAACTGCTGCTGTTTCGAATGTCACAGAATACACAGACGCACACACACACAGATACACACATACACAGAGCCCGTACAGCGACATTTAAGCACAGCTGACGTAGCTGACTTCGTTTATTTGCACAGCTTTCGCACTCCACCTGACTCCCTCGCTATTTTTCTGTTTTTTTTTTAACGCCTTTTCTGGTCTTTTAGTTGCGCTTTTATGGGCTGCTCAAAATGATTACGCGGCATTTAACACCAGAAACTGAATCTATTCCGCAAGTGTAGCGCTTTTATTTCTATTTTTATCACATAAGAAGGCGAGAAATGCGAAAAAGCTGGAGGTCGACAAGAAATTCTTTTTGTTATCGCTGTTTTCTCTGCTCCACGCATGAACAACATTTTTAGTGCTAAAGTTTGCAAGAGAAGTATGTGGAATTCAATCAGAAATACTTGTTAATTTTTAAGTTCTTCGTATCTTCGAAGCCAAGAAAACATAATTTTATCTTCACTTCTCTGAAGCCCGCGGAAAAAAAATATCCTTATAAAACCATCGAATACAATACTTTATGCATTTTTATCTCCCTCATTTGTTTCACTCATTTCCCTACAATTTTTGTTTTATTTTGGACCATGATTTTCATTTTTTCCCCGTTGGTTTTCTTTTCATTCGCTTCAAATTGTTGCCTAATGAAAATGCCTTCATTATTTATGAGCATAAATTAAAAATTAACAGTACGCCGCACACTGCACCTACACAGGCGCAATTCAATTATGTTGCATATATTTCATATTGCAATAGCAACGGAAATTTATGAGCCATGCCCCCAGGGTCGAACTTGACAAAGCCCAACGAAAACCCGGACCCAGGCCCAAACTCAAACCCAGCTAAAACCCAACCGAATCGTACTGGAGCGCGCCAAGCAGCCAAGCAGCACCGCCAGAAATGCTAAATAGAAATATGGCTATTAAAAATGGTCCAGTTTCAATTTTCACCAAGTAATTATTAAAATAGACGGTACCCAAGGTCTTAGCATTTAATCATAAAGCTGAATATTTTTTAATACTTTAATAAGGCATGATAGGGTATCTATCTATCTTTGTATTAATTCTTAAAAAATTTTAAATTCATATGACCGCACAGTCAATTACAGCATATCAAGTCCAAAGACTTATGTTTTGAAAATAAACATGAATTGTGGTCGCAAGCAACGTGTGTTGTGCTTTAATACGTGCGACCTTTAATAGTAACCAGATTGGTCCAGAATGTAGCCAAGTTGACAACGCTGAGCTAACAACCCGCCAGCCATAATAGCTGCTGCATCAACAACAAAGGTCCAATGGTGCAGCCAGCGCAGCATATTTACCAAGGTTGGCAACGCAGCTCCGCTGGGTGCAATGCAAATCGTGGGTGGGTGGGTTAGTGGGCGTGTTTGGCTACTCGGATGGTGGCCCCATAAATTCTGATCAACTATTAGTGCATGAAAAGTAGCCAGGAAGAATGTTCTGTTATCTGAGCAACTCGCATAGCGATAGCGGGGCACACAACATTGAAACAACATTTACCTAACATAATTTCGCACTTGAAAATTGAACTTCTGCCAGTACACGTGTTCAAAACCAAAGTAACCTCAGCTATGATTGCCCCTCCATCTAGCTAATTACTATGTCACTCGGTTAAGCAGCATCGAACGGTTACGCAAGGTGTTTTAATTAGTTCAATGGCACATGCCACGTTTCCCCACTGTGTGTTGTTTCCAATCAATTTTTGTTTGGAATCCAATACAATTTGCGTAACAGATAAGCTGACAATCGTAACGCACAATGATGAGCAATGGGGAAATCCATTTATTTGGGAATCACCACCATTATTTAAATGGCTTTTGCACTTAGTATTATTCAAAAACCCATAAAAGTCTTTATTATAACATAGGAACTGCGTTAGCAAGCATAAAGACTTTATTAACCTATTCCCGAGAAAAATTAAGTATTTACCCTTAAAATATTTTGAAATATCGTTACCATTTATAAGCTTGTATTGTATTGTTTTAATGTGTGTCAGGCTCAACTAAATATTGTTGGGTAAATTCTTCCCAAATAACTTTCTTATTGTATATTTGCGTATATTTGTTTTCAAACTTGCGTAGACTCTTAGGCAAAGAGTTTTGTTCTCTTTTTGTTCGTGCGCCAACTAAGTTCTGGCAACAAGCTTAAAACTTGATGAATTTCAAATATTTTGTTCACAATTGATGGTGATAAATCTCGAAATGCCTAATAGTTTTCAAGTTTCAATTCCCCTC